TCCTCATCCCTTCCCTTCCCTTACTTTCCCTTCCCTTACTTTGCCTTCCCTTCCCTTACTTTCCCTTGCCTTGCCTTCCCTTCCCTTCCTTTGCCTTGCCTTGCCTTCCCTTCCCTTCCTTTGCCTTGCCTTGCCTTCCCTTCCTTTGCCTTCCCTCCCCTCTCCTCCCCTCCCCACCCCTTCCCACCCTCTCCACCCTTTCCCCTTCCCCTTCCCCTTCCCCTGCCCCTGCCCCTTCCCCTTCACTTTCCCCTTCCCCTTCCCCTTCCTTCTGCCTCTGGCACTGGGCTGCTGCTGCCATGGCTCTAGGTGCAGATGTCCCTAGAGAAATGGTGGCAGCAGGACGGTGCCATCCCTGTCCCTGTCCCGGCGCATCCCGGGGGCGAGGGCGGCAGCCGGCTGGAGCGGAGCAGCAGCAGCGTCAGTGGACGGCCAGTCCCCAATTCACACCAGCCCGAAACAATGACGATGACAGTGGCAGAATATAAAGAGATGAAAAATGTGTCTGCGATTTTAACGAGCGGGAAACACCCAGCGTGGGGGACACAGGGGCAGGAGGACAGCGTGCAGAAACCACTGGGTGGGGACGTGGGTCCCATTTGTCCCCTGAGCCTAAATGCAGGGCTGCCCCATTAGCAGGTACTCAGCTCTGGTCACAGCCGGTCACCTTTCAGTGCCCTTCTCCTTCCTTCTCTGCTATTCCATTCTACTTTGATTATTATTTTTTAACTTTTATTATTTTTTTTTTTACCGTCCTTTAAACCCCGTAAATATTTAATACAAAGGAAACTAAAAAAAAAACAAAAAACAAAAAAAACCCAGCGGAACAGTTCTCAAAATAATTTCACAATCCGCACATATCCCCTCGGCAAATTCAATTTGTAGGAAATAAAGAACAAAATGCAGCCATAAAAGGCTTCTCAACAAATCCTAATGCTTTACATGTGTAAGCGCAAACGCCGTGCCTGCGTGCAGGAGGTGGGTGGAGGTGGACAGAGGGCACCGTGGGGTTGTGTGCGAGAAATGGGGGCTCTTTGCAACCTTTAGAGTGGATGAAGGGGAGCCCATCCCATAAGGGATGCTCCATGCCCTTCTGCCTTGCAGGGATGCTCGGCAGCTGTCCGTAGTCCCCAGCTCTGGGGTCTGGGCTGTGCGCTGGGGTCCCTGCAGGTCCCCACTGTGTCCCTGCTGTGTCCTTTCCCAGCTCACAGCCCTGCTTCCCTTCTGCTATTTTCCCCCTTCCTTTAATATACCTGACACCTTGGGGAGAACATTTCCTTTAAGCCTTCCCGTTTTAATAACTTTGATTCTACGTCTTAATTAGTGACCTGGAAAAGACATCCATTGTTATGCGCCATAAGGAGCCGCTACCTCGGGCTGCAGGAGGAGGAGGATTGATTCCAGCATGGAGTCCCTGTAACCCCGGTGGGAGCTGTGGGGTGGGAGCAGAGCTGGGGGCACAGTACGGTCAGCCCATGCTCTGTCTCTTGCTGGGAGTCACGGGCAGAGCGACTCCATCCCTTTGCTAATGGGGATATTTGGGGTTTTGCACCCAAATTGCCCCATCCCTGCAGTACACAGCCCCACCATTCCCACACCAGGCCATCTCCACCCCGGGGGCCACGTGCCTCCAGCTCTCTGCAGCAAGGGTTGGCCGCACGCTGCTGGCGGGCAGGGTGCTGCCGTCTGCGGCCGCTTTGATGCGGGGTTCCCTCTGTGCTCAGACAGAGCCGGCCCTGCCTGCGGGCCGTGGCTGCATGAAGCAAGGCTGATTGATGGCCTTGTTTTGTTCCTGCAAAGCCTGGCCCAGGCCGTGCACATCCACGGTCCCCCAGGAGCTGGGGAGGGATGGCGACGGCTGCCTGGGCTGTGGGCTGGGGGTGTCAGGGGGATGCTGCCCCCCAGCTGCTGGAGCAATCTGTGCCTCAGTTTCCCCATCCCCACTGACCCTGCGGGTGAAACCATCCCGCTCCTCTCAGGTATGCGGAGCATCCCCAGAGCTAAGGCAGACACTGAGAGCACGGGAGCCCCATTTGGGATAATGCTCATTAGGAGTCCAGCAAGATGACCTCCAAAAAATGGAGCTGAGCTCCAGCTGATGAGTCACAGCCATGCCTGCATGATGCGCTACTTACAAGCGAGGTTTACACCATGGAGCTAACAGGCTTTTCTGGGAAGCACAGGGGCTTTGTGCTTCCTAATTATGTTCAAAGGCTGCTGGCAGCAAGGCTCAGACAGGGATTATGCTTGCTAGAAGCACAGCACTAGGCCTTGTTCAGAGGCCTGAAAGTGCTAATTGACTTTAGGTCTCACGTCGCTGTTGAGAGCCTGCTCCGTGCAGCCCAGTCCCTCCTCCTGCTCCTGCTCTGAACCCGCTGCATGTGGTTTGAATTTCTTCTGCAGAGAAAAACCTCCTTTCTCCTTGCCCTGGTGTCATCTTACCCTGGAATTTGGGGGAAATAGAGAGGAGCTTAAATGCTCACAGAGGGACTGCCTCTCCTCTCCAGGAAACAAAGAAAGAGAGGGGTGAAAGTCATCACACGGGCAGCCTCCACTGATGCACTGTCCCATCCCATGTTCCTTGGCACAGGGATGTTGGCACCTTCAAGCGGCTCTGCCCATGCCAGCAGGCACTGGGTGGCACACAGAGGAGAATGCTGGCTGTGCAGCACCACTGGCTCAGCCACAAGGATCCCCTCCTTCAGGATGACAGCAGCCTGCGATGCTGTGGCTGCTGCGGGGAATTGCCCATGGCTCCTTTTTGCCTTTTCCCACTGGATCCTATGCAAAAGGTGGTGTACGTGACACGGCACAGCACGGCACAGAACAGTGAGCCAGCCACCCTGGCTGCCATTCCCAGCACGGAGGGCTCATGGGCTGCGGACGATTGGGAAATCAGTTTCCTCTTCTCCCCGTTACGACATTGCAGTGGGCGCATCCATTGGGAGCTGTGAGGCAGCAGGAAAGTATGAAGGTCAGGGAGACTGAGGTTTGTGTGACGGAGGTGAGCCCTGCCCGAGGCACCCCTCCACCTGCTCGTGCACCATTGCCACATGCACCCCTCTCCTTGGTCACAGAGAGGGGAAAAGGGCTGCACAAAGCTCCTCCTCATTCCCAGTGCCACAGGCAGGAGGGCTGCTGCCTCAGATCCAGACAGACATATTTTATAAATGTTCCCAACGTGCTAACTTACCCCATTCCTATTCCTGTCTTCTATTTTAAAAGCTGCAGAGTTTTCTGAAAGTTGATCATCTCCATTGCTCCAACACCAGCACCGTTGTGACGCGCTTGCCTTGCAGCACTAATGAGCCGGCCCTGCAATTCTCATCACCTCATTAAGGATTTGGCTGCCAGTCCCAGCTGTGCTGCCCGCTGCCTCCCACTTTGTTTGCAGGCTGCAGGACTGGTGTTAGGGGAGCCACTTGCATTTGGCCAGTGGTTTTCAGCACCAAAGAGCCACAATGCGAGACATTTGCTAGGGCTGGGACGAGTGGACCAGGCAGTGACAGCAGAGCAACATGTTCTCTGCAAATGCAGCTTCAATTTAGCAGCGAGACATGGGCATGGGCACAGCTGTGGTGGGCACCTGGCCTCAGGGCAGGGACATGTGGAGGGGTGTATCCTGCTGGAGGGGCTGCTTGGTCCATCAGGTCTCAGTCCCATGACCACAGCTCCCCAGGACATCCCCAGGCAACCACCATGAGTGGGGGATGCAGGAAGTGGCTCCAGCAGTACGTATCCCCTCCTGCTCCTCCCATTATTGTGGCCTAACACCAAGTCCATGGGGAAGACCCACCAGCCCCTGCTTGGAGCTGGAAGCCCTTTTGATATGAGGAAGGGAAAATAAACGAAGTTGCAATGCAGGTGACAAGGTCTCATGCAGACCCTGCCAGTAGAGGGAGACCCCACAAGAGTGGGAGAGGGTCGCAGCCCTCAGCCCGATTAAATCTGTCCAACAAAATGGAGCCAGAAAGTCACTGCATGGGTAGGGCTGGATTCACCCAGCTCTCCCAGTGCAGCCCAAATACCAGTGTCCCTCACAGGCACCAAGGCAAAACCATGGGAAGACAAGGAGATGAATGGATTTGAGTGTATGGAGATGAATAGAAGAGTGGATAACAGGTTGGTGAACAGGAATGGAACAAGTTGGATGGAAAGTTTGGTATAAGTTGTGCATGTGTGACTGCTTCCTCTTGTCTCCCCCTGCCCTGGAGCCAGCACTCTGCAGAGCTCAGACACCTGCAGCAGAACTGCATCCAGCCCAGTGAGCAGCTCTGCACAAGCGGGGGCAGAGTTTAGGGTCAGGTTCCTCAAGGAAAGACCCACAGATGGAAGCTCTGCCAAGGAAAGGGCACTCAGCTGACACAACTCTTGGTGCTCTCCTCACCCACTGAGAGAAGGGCTGTGCCTGGGGAGGGACACGTGGAGCTGCACCTTGCTGCTGCTGCCTGTGAACCATGGGGCAGCACAGCAGAACTTCCCGCTGCTATGAATCAAGGGCCTGGCAATGGAAAAGCTCCAGCTCCGGTATTTCCTGCTTCTCTCATCAAACCCCAGTCGGATGAAGCAGATATTGCTCAAACTGCCCCTGGGAGGGGTTCAGCCTGCCCATGTGTTGGACAGCCCCAAGCCCCCAGCAGCTGCCCACTCAGGATACTCACACCCAGAGCATGGGGCAGAGTCTGGGTCGGCACCTTTGAGCCCAGCTTCTCAGAGCTTGGGGCAGGGCTCCTGCAGCCTCTCCTGGCTCTTAGGGGCATCGAGGCCCCACAGAATTCATTGTCTTTCGACATTCCCTCTTTTTTCTTACACATGAGCAAAACAGCCATTGGCTGGAGCTGAGTCCCAGATGCCCATGATGAAAGCCTGGCTCAGTGGAAACCAGTGGTCACCTTCCTGCAGATTCTCACCTGACCTGCATGGCTCTGTCAGATTCCATGCCACGAAAGTCTTCCACAGAGCAGGACCATTCGCAAGAGGTGCAACATTTCCACAGCCACCAGGGAGATGATTCACAGGAATGGGCAGTGCTGAGCAGCAGGATTGGCTGCGGTCAGTTGTTCAGCTTCAGTGACTTCTTGAGGGGGAAATGGAAAGACTGGACAGCGCAGGCTAATTAACAGACGCATCATGAAGTCAATATGAATCAGAGCATTCCCAAGGAGCTGGAGATCAGATTGGGAAAGCAGCAGATGATGCCTTTCCTTGGCACAGGGCTCCTTCACCCAGATGCTGCTCCAGCCCCCTGAGCCGAGGACTTGCTGATAACACCGGCTGCAGAGCTGGGAAACTCAGCGGCAATTTTAACTCAGGTGATGTAGACAGGGAAAGGAGACGAAGCATAGGAATAACCCTGTCAGTGGCTCATTGCAGCGTCAGTTCCTTCAGGTAACAAGGGAAGTGCTCAATTCAGGGGTGCACGTGAACACAGCTGCAGGTTCTCTAGATTTTTATTAACTGGGGCAGCCAGTGTTCCGGTCACAACGCTTCTGGTGAGAAAGAGCCCAGGCTTAGGGAGCAGGAGCCGGGCAGGAACCGGCACACGGACACCAGCGAGCCCTGCCACATCCAAGGGCACCTCCGAGTGGGAGCAGCACGTTTCTCAGGGAAACGCCTGCCCTCCCAGCCCCCGCGGCGGCCATTTCACTCCATCCCCCCCGACCCCCCCCAGGCCTCCACCCGGCGCTGCACAGCAGACGGGAGCCCCCTAGTGAGGGCCGGCCCGGCTCAGCCCAGCTCGTGGACGCGGCTCCGGCCCGGCTCTACGAAGGGGAGGGCCCGGCCCGGCCCGGCCGCGCCTGCTCTGTGCGGAGCGGAACGGAGCGGCCATGGCGGGGTTGGAGCTGCTGTACCGCTCGGCTCAAGCCGCTATTTCCTGCCCGCAGGATGCATTGGTTTGCGGGATCCACTGGGAGCTGATCCAGCACGGCTACCGCTGCCTCGGTGCCGGAGAGCAGGTATACGGGCCGGGCTGCACCGCCGCTAGGCCCCGCTAGGCCGCGCCCATCCTCGGCCTTTCCTAGCGCCGCTCGCCGCCTCCGCGCGGCCCAACCCGGCAGCCGCTGCCGGAGGGAGGAACGTGTGGGCACTGCGGGTTGTACCGGCGGGACCTGGAGGTGCTACGGTGTGTCGTGGGGGGTTCCCGAGGTGTGGTGCTTTGGGGAGGCTGTTGCTGCGGGGATACCGGTGCTGAGATGGGGATCGGGAGCCTGGAACGGTGCTGGGAGAGTGTCTGCTGGGGCTGTGTTGGGCTGCAGGGCAATGTTTGGGGAGAAAAGCCCCCCACAGCCGGACAGCACCGCGTGCTTGGAAGCTTTGGGGTGACAGGCAGTGGGGAGCAGCATCTCCTGGTTTGGGTCTTTGTTGGCTTTTACTCAGCAAGGGATGGCTGTGTCCCCTCCTGTTCTAGGTGCTAGCAGGCCTCACTGTCCTGTCTGTCTTGTTGTAGCCAGGTCCTGATGAAAGGAAGTCAGAGCTGCTGCCCGCTGGCTGGGAAGCCAACAGGGAGGTGTATACACTGCGCTACAAGTCCACAGATGATGCCCAGGAACTGCTGCTGAAAGCCATTGTGGTGGAAGACAGCATGATCCTCAATGTCATGGTGAGCACCCGAACTGATTGCTGCAGAAGTTGGACTCCTTTCAGATGCTAGTGTCCAAAATGCGTGAAAAACAGTAGAGCCAATTTCTTAAATGTTTTGCTGCTATTAGTTCTGCCTTACAGCATCATTTGTCCCTTAGGGATGTGACCCAGCCTGAAACTAGTCAAACACAGCCACACCTGGCCATGGATACAGTTTTCCTTGCACTCTGGCCCAGTGTCCCTTTTTGTGCCCCTTTTCCAGCTGAGAATGTGTTTTCACATCACTTCCCCACAAGCATATGGCTAGGATGTTTTTGCCCCATGTCACTTCTTCCTGACTGTGGCTGTCGTTGGATTTTGGTCTTTCACCTTCACAGCCTGGGCTGGGGGAAGTGAGCAGGGAGAGCTTTGTTGCATGGTTGGGTTGTTTGTTTTTTGTTTTTTTTTTGCTGCTGGGGATTTGGGCACTGTACAGGGACATGGACAGGAAGCATGCAAGCTTGTTCTTCATGTCCTGACCTCCCTACCTGTGGCTCTGCTTGCTCCCTCCCTCAGTCCTAGCTCTGCCCAGCTGCTAACACCGTGCTTCTCCTGTCTTTACTAGGATCGTGCTTCTCAGAAGGTGGCAGACGTGACCTTGGCAGTGGCTGACTACATCAACCCAGAGCACCTAAATGATTTCCACAAGTAATCTCAGTTTTTTGACATTTTCTGCAGGAGAAAAAGTCTCACCAGCATGGGGAGGGGGACATATGGGATGGGATCAGAGATCAGGTTAGGAGGAGCCTGGAGGACTCCTCTCTCCAGTGCAAATGCAGAGTGCCAGCTGGGTACATGTTTTGTGCCAGAGATGCCAAAAGAATGTCCATCCTCTCAACATCCCTGTCCAGCACCTTAGTGCCTGAGTGCCATAGTCTGCCTGTCCCACCACCTTGCCTCTCATCCCTGCAGGGTCTACAAAAACATGGAGGAGTTGAAGACGAGGATTGCTTCAGGTATCATCAGTCCCCTCGGGGTCCCCACAGAAAAGGCCAGGAAGGAGTCCCAGGCAGAGAAGAAAGATCCTGTCTCGCCCCAGGATTATAACCCCCTTGGAATCCCACCCCGGCATCCTGCAGGCATGAGAGCACCATCGTGGTGAGTGAGCAGCGGGTGTCCACTGAAGGTCCTGGCACAAACTTTACCTCTGGTCCCCATCTTGCACAGATGGAATGGGGATTGAAGGGGATCAAAATCCTCCCCACCTGTTCTCAGACTCACTGGCTGCCAGCTTTTCTTTTTTATTTAAGCTGTTTGCTGAGGGATGGAATGATGAGTTCAGGAGCTACTTTTTGCCCTACTTTGGAAAGATGTGGGGTGGAAGGAGGGAAGCCCTACTCTGTACTGGTTGAGGGACCATCAGGGCTTGGGGGCTGGTGGAGCAGGAACAGCAGGGGGAAGGACAGTGCTGTTATATGTGGCAGACAGGTTTTTCCCTCTGTTCCCCCACAAGCTTTTGGCTGGAAGTCAGAGACACTGTGGTGGCTCTGCTGTGGCTTCTGCCTTGCATGTCACCTCTTGTTTCTTTAGCCCCACTGCTGTCTGCTTGAGCTTAGGTTGCAAGATATTCCTTCCAGGAGTGCAAGGACAGTCATTGTGTTGCTGGCTGGAAACTGCATGAAGTCAGCCCTTCACTGAAAGTCTTATTCACTGTGTGCTCTGTTTCAGGCCTTCTCCTTTGAACCCTTTCGCTGTTGGTGGGCAGGACCTGGATCCTTTGGGGTGAGTATGGCTAAAGGAGGTGGTGCTTTGCATGTCCTGAGAGTGTCCCCAGCTCTGTCCTTCACTGAGAGACCTTCCCTGAAACAGCTGCTGTCAGTCTGGCTCAGGCATTGAGCAAAGTGTGTCTGAGTGCGGGTGGCAGTGGAACAGTTCCTCATTACAAATTGCAAGGGAGCAATTGACAGTTGCTAAACCTCAATATGGTTCTAATATTGTAATAAGATCCCGTTGCTTGCTTAGATGATAGGTTGCAATCTGCGTCTGTTTAATAATCAGCCTGTATTCATTTAACATACACTAATTCCTTCAGTAAATCAAAGCTGAATACATCGTTAAGTGAATGTAAGTCTCTAATTTAAAACGGTACCAGCTGCTGCATTTACAGCCCAGCAGTCTGGAGAAGGAGAGGCTTAAAGTTGAGTCCACAGATGCCCGAGTCCTGATTGTGAGCTTCCTGGCTTTTTGGGATGCTCGAGCAGGGATGCTGGAGAAAGCCTGAGTGAAAGCCGGGCTGTTTGGGGGACTGATCTTCCCAGATGCAACTCTGGGTCTTTGGTTTGGTTGGGCAAGAAGGACCTGTCATCTGCCATTCCAGATAAAAGCACATCTTCAGACAAAAAACAGTCCTTGGAGTTGTTGCAGAGCGCCTTGCAGCTCAGGGGAGTCCTCTTTAGAACAGCTCTCCTGTGGGGATCGCATTTTTTCCCTCTTGCAAGACTTGATTCTCTGCGGGTTTGGCCAGCTAGAAATGTCCTGCCCTGCTGGAAGGAGAAGCCTGGGTGACTGGGAGGAAACCCGATAGCGTGAGGAAAAGGGGTTCAGTTGTGGGGGAGACCCTGTTTCTCCCACTGCTTCCAGCTCCTCATGGGCAGTTTCTCTGTAAATGACAAAAAAATGATTGTAAGTGAAAGCAGATTTATGTGCTGACACCTGCCAGCGCTGGGGCTGGAGACCCAGACTTCCAGGCATGTGCTCATGGGGCCTGGCTGTCCTGGGGCACTGTGGGCAGCCAGCCTGGCGTAATGGAACTCATTAGCACAGTTGTTAATGACTTGTATGATGGCAGTGGTGTCCAGAGACTCCAGCTGAGTTTGCATAAAGCCAACTATGAAGAATGGCACTCGCAGCATGGGGCAGCTCTGAGGAGCCACCATGGTCAACAAATGACTTCCAGGCAGCACTTTGGAAAGGTTCGGGGGGTCTGCAGGCTCTTGCAGCACTGTGCTTCCCTAGGGGAGCAGGGATGGGACTATGAGTGGCAGTGAGGACCAGCAGGTCCAGTGCATGGTCAGCAGCCCACTGGGGACTTATCAGCCATGGTTTGTGTTCTGCCTGGCTCCTTGCAGGAACTTGAGGGAAGAAGGAGGTTGCCATGACTCCCATCTCAGTGTAATGTTAAGCTACAGTTTACACCCTGTGCTGAGCGTATGTTGTGCTGCAGCATGGGGAAGGGTGCAGGAGGAGTACGTTGCTCTTCTGTGCCAATCTCATCTCATTTGCTGCCTTTCCTCTCCCCAGAGGTCGGAGTGGCGGAATGATCGTTGATCCTCTCCGGTCTGGATTCCCGCAGCCCGGCATTGACCCATCAGCAGGTCTCCCCGGCCGCCTTCCCCCAGGAGCAGTTCCACCAGGAGCCAGATTTGACCCCTTTGGCCCCTTAGGGGCTGGTAGGGCTGGGTAGGTGTTTGGCCATGCCTGGGTAGCCGCTGCAGCCAAGTACCACAGCATGCTCCCAGTCTGCCCCTGCTCTGCTGCTCCTTCCAGGGTTGTGCTCTTGTTCCTGGTTTGACTTTGTTCTGAATTGCTTTTTAGGCCAGATCCTGACCACCTCCCACCTCCAGGCTACGATGACATGTTCATGTGAGGAGTCACTGAGTGGTTTCTCAGCTAGCTGCAGCCAGAGCAGTTTCCTGGAGCGAGGAGCACTTTCTCCTCTTGATTCCCTTCTTTGGTGGACTTTGATCTTTTCAACAGCGATTTTCCTCTCCCTGCTCAGGGCTACGCTCCTGTGTTTCAGACTGGCTATAAAGGTTTCCATATGCACAGAACAAAAGAGGAAGCAGTAGGTCCATTTCTTTCTCTGCTCCTCCAAGGGTAGCTGGCTGTGGGTACGCAGCAGACATGGGCCTGCCCTGTGCCAGGGCAGCGTCGGGAGCAGTGTGGTGTGCTGAGAGCAGCCCTGGGCTTTGAGGTTTCCTCCTCTCCTTGTCCAGGGTGACATAGCTTTTGCTGCTGGGATTACGCATGCAGTCAGTGGTAAGGAGGGAGCTGGCTTCTTGCCACTCCCATGGTGGGGAGCTGCAATAGCCTCGCTGAAAGCTTCAGCTGGAGAAGGCTTCCCATGTAGTGGTGGTTTCTCTCTTGCTCTTTATCTAAAGAGTGCTGATCAGCATGGAGGGCTAAAGCCCATCTCACAGGGTCTTTGTGGGCAGACCCCCAGTAGTGGCTCAGGTGGGCTTCTGCATGGGCATGCAGACTGGATGTGAGGGGCTCCAACAGCAAAGCCTTTGACATGCATGAAAAGAGACATACAGTGAATTCCTGGCATTATCTGGCCCCCTGTAGCCATGCTGTCCTTCATTCTTGGGGATGTGTGCCAAACCCACAGGTAGCGTGGAGAGCTGCCTGTTGGGCACCGTGTTGGGTTGGGGTGGAGCAGAGGGTTTGCGTGCCTACCTGAACTCTGGGTCCAGCACAGTCTCTCTGCGCCTGATGGAGCTGAAGGATTTGGGGCTTTACTTTGCAGCAGGTTTATAGGAACATGTTTCACTATTGTCCGTCCCATGGCATGAGACCTGTGTGGCTCTGCCCAGCTGGACTCTGTGCTGCCATCACCAAACGGCTTGTGGAGGAAGGACAAGACCTGCATGGCTCATAGGATTCTCAGCTCTTTCTGGAACCCCCTCCCTTTCCTGCAGCTCCCCCTGTGTCATATAATTTTGGGGCTGGAGCCCACTAGGAGTTCAGTACTGTATTTTCTTCTCATGGTTTGATTTCTTGGAAGGTTAATGAGTTTGAAATAAAAATCTGACAACAGTGTTGTGATGACAGTTGCTGGGAGTGACCCCCCCCCCCCCCCCAGTTGGCCGCCTCATCTCCCCCCACAAGAAAAGGAACCCCAGAGCTGCACCTGGGAGCTCTGTTCTGTCTGTGCTTGCCCTATCTGGGGTGGTGGGTTTGAACTGGGAGCCCGCTTTGTTCTTTCCCTTCTTTCCTAGCAGCAGTGCTTTTCTGAGATGATGAGACTGTATTAAGAAAATTAAGTGGAGAATGGCCCAGCCCTTGTTTGGCTGTGCTTCTGATGGTAATTGACTCTCCAGGGCACTGAACATCCTTGTTACACTGCATGCAGCTGCATAGGCATAAATAAAAAAGGGGAAGTGCTCCCCTCTCTCCCTTTTCCCCTAAGGCTTTTCCTTTTAAACCCCTTTTGCCTACAAACATGGCTGATAACAGCTGAGTATGGAACCCTGGACTGTGTGCATGTGGGAGGGGGAGGACTGGCCATAGAAATTTGGCACTGGGTGAACTGGAGCAGGGTGAGGCTCTTGCTGTGTTCCCACTGTTCTCCCAGCTCCTGGGCAGCCCCAACCTTGCTGTGTGAGGTTGGGATGCACAGTGCTGCAGGGAGAGGAAGTGGTTCTGCCTTATCAGAGAGGCTCTCTGCGGGAGACAGCTGCTTTCTGCTGCCTGCATTAATCATGTGCTGCAACCTTTCAGGAGGGAGAAACACAGCCTGCTTTGATGGGGCTAATTAAAACGATCCAGTGCCAGGAGAGGCTGTGTCGGGTCTTGATAAACAATCTTTTGTCTGCAGCTCTTAACCCCAGTGGGTTTGCAATGCCTTGCAGCTTGGGGGAGCAGGTGGAGAGGAGGGGATTGAAGAGGAAGAGTACCCTGCGTGGAGCTGGGGTGGTTGTGGGCTCGTGGCTGAGCCTTGGGGCTGCTGTGGTCTCTGCTGTCTGTGCTCCAGAGAGCAGAGGTGTGGGAAGATGTGGATCCTGCACCAAGCATGGCCATCAACACCAGCACTAACATGAGTGACTGAAGCTGTTAGCATGCGAGGGAGCACAGCGGTTGGTGCATCTTGAGCTAATTTTATGGGGGGTTGTAAAGAGTGGTTGGGGCTGGAGTGTGTGATCCTGGCACGAGCACAGCCCTCACTCCTCCTGCAGTGCCAAGGAGGTGCTTCCACATCACAGTTGAAGAGAGGCACTGGATTATTGGCAATGGCTTGACGTCCCTGGAGGGTCCTTCAGGCCATCTGCCAACCCGCCCAGCCAGCAGCACCTGCCTCTCATGCTCCCAATGGCAGAGCCCTCATTCTGCTAATTACCCTGCGGACGATGCTCTGAGCCAGGATCCTGCATGGCCCGTGGATGGTGCGAGGGAAGAACTGGTGGATATGAGAAAACAAAGCAGCCTCTGTTGCAGAGGACTGAGGGAGGTGTATGGGGCTGTTCCCTCCTGCATAGAGACACTCCAGGACCCTGAAGATGGGTGCTTAAGAGCTCTGCGCTGAGCCAGCTTCTCTGTTGGAAGCTGAAGATGTGCAGAAATGCTGTGCAGCAGCAAGGTGCTCTCCAATGGGACGGGTTTCACGGTGCCTCCAGGGTCACAGGGACTTTTCTAGTGGTATCCCAAAGCTGCCCCAACCCACCCATTAGCAGCTGCACAGCCCAGGGTGTGACACTGTGGGGTTGAGGCCTCATCCTGCCCACACTGCCCTGCTCCAGCCCACCTTGCTAGGGCAGATTTGTCTCACCACCTTGTAATATTTTGGGTTGCTTCCTAAATAAATCATCGCTTTGGCTCAATGTTTCCAGCCTGCTGCACTGCTCTCCTCTGGTTCCACTGCTGCTCCTGTGCAAAATCATTCTCCAGTCCTACAGGTCTCAGTGGGGAGCCTCTTTAATGGCATTCCTTCCTCAACACACTTCACCTTAAATATTTATATTTCAATCCAGAGGATTTTCCCCCCACTCCTCCAGGCCCTCCTTAAGGGACAGCACAGCAATGTGCTGGCACAGCAATAACAGCCTCCTTCCATTAACACCCCTCCAACAGCCCCACACTCCAACACAAAGGAGAATTTCTTGCGCCCATATAACGCAGGTGTTCAGCAGATGCAGCCTGCCAGCAGCCTGTGTGAGGCTATTTGAGGATTCCAGGACCCAATACTAAACACAGAGCAAGGCAGGTGACACAGGGATGGGCAGAGGGACGTGTGGCCCTTCCAGCACTGATAGGAATGGACACCTTTGTGCAGGATGGGGATGGTGGCACAGGCTGCGGGCTGTCCCCAGCCATGGGAGGGGTGGGAACACCAAAGGATGCTATGGGAGCCCTGGAACGAGATCTTGCCCCAGCAACTGTACTTCCCCATGTGTTGGGCTGTCTGGAGAGATTTGTCTCTGCACATTTGTAGCAAATAATTTATGGGATGGATTAAAAACTGGTGGCAGTTTGTGACAAATACCAGTTTTTGTGGGGCTGCGTTTTCCTATGGGACAATTCCTCGCCTTTCTCAGCATCCTGCTCAGACCGATTTTTTCTCTCCACAGAACGTTGTGCTTTAATGATGCTTCATGTTTAATTCCCGAGATGCAATGTTACCTTCGAGCTGCAGACAATGGCTCTTGTGAGCAGCACAAAGGCACCCCAGTGGGGCAGAGCTGCTTCTCTAAAACAGGAAAAGAAGGACCACGCTGGCATGGCGAGTTATCCTCTCTCCTCCAGACAGAGCACCCTGGTTTCTGAGGCCGTTGTGGGGCTGCTGGTGGGATGCTAGGCACGAGGGGGTGTCCCAGCCTTCATCCTGCTCTCGTGGGATGTGAAGGCTGCAGGTCAGGAGGAGGTGGCCCCGTGGATGGCGGTCACATTGAGGTCCCCTTCTCTTCTGCTACGTCACAGAGTTTTACAAGAAACTATTGCTACGAAAGGTTGCTGATGGCAGAAAATCAGATGCTACATCCCAAAGAGGAGCTCGGCCTCGCGTCCAGCCCGGCGCAGGGCACAGAAACCCCACGGGCGTCTCACAGTGCCGTCACCCCGCTGCTGGTGGAAGGCGGACCCGGTGCTGCGGGATGGGGCGCCGTCCCGGGAGAGGTGAGAAGGTGTCCGATGGCGAAGCCTCCCCGATGGCATCGGTGTTGCGGTGCGGCGAGGGGAATGCCGGTGTGCGGGGCTACGATCCGGACCCCTCGGGGTGCTGCTGGGGCGGGGGGCTCAGCTGGCTCTCCAGCAGCGCCTGGGCCCCATCGGCCGACACCCGCCGCAGCCGCAGCCGCACGGAGCCGTAGTTGCTCCCGGCACGGCGGGCGGCGCGGGCCCGGCGGCGGGCGGCGGCGGCGGCCAGCAGGAGGGCGGCGAGCAGCAGCCCCCCCAGGGCCAGCAGGGCCAGCCCGGCCACCGTGCAGCGGTCGAGACGGGCGCGGAGCCGCGCCGCCCTCTCTTCCAACCGCTCCATCTGCCGCGCCGGTACGGTCGGGTCGGGACGCGCCGCCCGCGGCACGGCCCCCGCCAGCACCACCAGCGCTGCCCCGCTCAGCGCGCAGCCCAGCGCCAGCGCCAGCCCCGGGCCCGGAGCCGGGCCGAGCCCCCCCGGGCCGCCGCCGTCCGTCGCCGCTTCGCCCGGGCTCCGCAGCTCCGCCGCCCGCGGGGACGCCATGGAGCCGCCGCCCTGCGAGGAGAGAGGTGAGCGGCGGAGCGGGCTGCATCCCCCGCACCGCTTGCCCCAGCCGGGATGCACCCCCTCCTTTCACCCCCAAACCCGGCCTCCGGAGGGAGCTGCTCCCGCCCGAACCCCCGAACCCCAACGACCCGCGTCTCCAAACCGGGCTGCTCCCTCCCTGCCCCCATCAGGCCGAACCTCCCCAGCCCCCGGGACCCACCTCCCGAACCGGGCTTCATCCCGCGCTCCCCCGCCGGGTTGTACCCCCCTCCCTCCCTTCCTCCCTCCCTACCCACCCAGGGAGCCCGTGACACCCCCCGAACTGCCTTCCCCGATTCGAGCTGTCCACCCCGCTCCACGTCCCGGACCTGCCGTCCCCTCCGCTCCCCCGGTTCCCTTCCCGTACCGAGCCGCCTCTCCCCCCGCTCCCCGCACCGAGCTGCGCTCCCTCTTCCTCGGTCCCAGCCGCCTCCCCGGTCCCGCCCCGCCGCTGCCCGCACCGAGCTGCCCCCCCCGGCCGCCTACCCCCGCCGGGTCCCCGGTGCCGGTGCAGCCGCGGCGGAGGGAGGGGAGGGCGGTGGGACCCCGCGGTGCTCCCGGCGCTGCACGCACACACGTGCACACGTAGCGGCGGCTGCCCCGGGGGTACACACGTGCACACACGTGTGCATACACACACACACTCACTCACACACACGCACGGTTGCACACCGGCACCGCCCGTGAAACGCATCACCTGCAGCGGAGGGATCCCGGGGCGGGGAGTTTGCAGACGGATGGGGCTAAGCAGCAGTGCAAAAAGCACGGAATGTGCCCAGGGGATGTCCATACAGGGTGCCGGCCATGCACTGGGGCAATAGGACAGCACCAGGCTGCGGTCTGCAGCACAGAGATCCCCAGCACCACGTTATTTATTTCCCTTTTCCCACTGCCACCGTCTGCACACGCTCTGCTTCTCTTTGACCTAAAACTGGACTCAGGCCCGAGCCCCAGCAGTGACCTGCTGGCAGGAGCATGCTTTGAGCCGTGTCGTTAATGAGACGTGTGCTATTCCTGCCTTTGGAGCGGTGCCTGGAGATGGTGGTGCGGATGTAAATCCCGACTGATAGCGGGTGGGCTGCTGAAAGCTGCCGGGAAGATCTGTCCGTCACATTGCCATTCCCTTCTGCACGTTCCCATGCCTTGAGCACCTTCACAAGCTCACATATGACAGCGTGAGATGATGCTCAGATGCTGCTGCCAGCACCAGGTGGGCTCACACGCCCATTCCCTACACCCTGAGCCCCCCACGCTCCGCTCCCCCGTGAAACAAATCCCGCAGCCACTCTTGGCTCCGTGCAACCCACAGCACTGGGACAGCGTCCTTCACAGTGACATCAAACAGCAGCTTTCTACCACCATGACATCAACAGGGGCTTTCTGTGAAGTCTCTGTGAAATTGAGTCAAAACCACAAAGGTTCTAAGAGGGTGGATGGGGGGGCAGAGACAAAAGGGTGCACGTGGATTTCTGTGCAGCTGAAGGCTGTGCACATCCAGGTGCTGGTGAGGCTGCTTGGCTCTGGCCCTGCTGCTCAGCGGGGCAGTGACAGGTGACAACTTCATCCTTCCCTCCACACCTTCTGCATTAAACAAAAGGTGATGTTAAAATTAACCACTGGATCATTTTTTTTTAGCCGTTTCCTTCCATGTTTTATTTTTATTTTTTATTTTCCTCCACTTGCCCTAGGAAGGCTTTCTGCCTGGATTAATTCATTTAATTTGGCTGATGCTGACCTGCTCCTCCCAAAGTGGGTCCGGGGGTCACCCGCCTCTTTTGCTGCCTTGTGGCTGCACACCACACTATTATGTTTTGTTTGCAGTGAGGGATGTGTGTGCTGTGTGGCTGTGACCGCCCTCCCAGCTCCTCTCCTGCGCTGTGTCAAAAGGCAGAATCTTCCCAGCACAGCATCCCTAGGGATGCATCCAGAACTGGGCTGAGAAAAGAACGGAATTAAAAATAAATGTAAGTGCATCCTGACACGTTAACCACATTTAGAGAGGTTTCAGTGCCAACCCACTCGGCGCTCAGATACAAGTAGGTCACAGGACGCAGATTGTCCCGAATCAGCAGGAAAGGATGGATGTGGAGCAGGCGGGCAGGAGGGAGAGGGGATGGGAGGAGAGCTCTGCGCTCTGCTGCCTCTGCCACTCGTATTTCCTTGGGAGGAACAAAAATGATGATGGTTTGCTCCTGAGCTCTGCATTTTGGGGCGCCCGGCTCCCATAGTGATGAGGCACCGGAATGTACGTGGTCTGTGTGCAGACCTGCTGTGATCCCACACTTAAATGGGGCAGCAGCCATGGGGCCAACGAGCCTGCAGCCATCGGGAGGACATCACAGATGGATGAGGGAGAGGGGACACTTGAGGGGGTCCTGCACCTTTCTGCTTTGGCTGTGATGCTCTGCTGCATTCACAGCATGGGTGCTGGGGGATTGGGATGTGCAGCTCCAAACCTGCAGCCTAAATGTTGCATTGGGCTGATGGGGTTGGGATGTGCTGATCCAAACCTACAGCCCCAAATGTTGCACTGGGCTGATGGGATTGGGATGTGCAGCCCCAAACCTGCAGCCTAAATGTTGCACTGGGCTGATGGGGTTGGGATGTGCTGACCCAAACCTGCAGCCCCAAATGCTGCACTGGGTTGATGGGATTGGGATGAGTAGCCCCAAACCTGCAGCCCGAAATGCTGCACTGGGTTGATGGGATTGGGATTTGCTGATCCAAACCTGCAGCCCCAAATGCTGCACTGGGCTGATGGGGTTGGGATGTGCTGACCCAAATCCTACCCTGGGCTGGCAGCTGCCCCAAATCTACAGCCCCAAATCCTGCCATGGGCTGGGAGCTGCCTCAAAGCCCATCCCCAAATCCTGCCCCGGGTTGGTGGGGCTGCAGCATCCCAGGAAAGGATGAGGAGGGATGGAGACGGCGCTGCCAGCCCAGGAGCACAGTGAGCAGAGAGACGGCCAAGGTCAGAGACAGCCCTGCCAAAACGCAGAACGAAATCTGCGGGAGAGCCGGAAATAAATAGAAAGAAGAAGGAGGGGAGGAAGGAGAGGGGCAGGAGTGGGACGGGGCTGCGGGGGCAGAAGGATGGAGGGGGGATGAGGGGACCGAGGGCAGCACCGGGCGGGCGGGAGGGCGGGAGAGCGGGCGGGGCCGCCACCACAGCGCCGCCACCACAGCGCCGCCACCACAGCGCCGCCACCACAGCGCCGCGCCCTCAGCCCCGCTCAGCCCCTGCGCTCAGGGCCAGCCGTGGTACCGCAGCGCCACGGTGATGTCCTGCAGCCACTCACCGCCACCTCAAGATCCCCCTCAGGGCCGTGTAACCCTGATGGCAGGGCTGGTTGACGCCGTCCCCTCAGGGCGCCGTAATGCCCTCGTGCCCTCAAGGCTGACAAAGTCCCCCATTCCCTCATAACCCCACGAAGCTCCCATTCCCTCAGGGTCCCACAGTGCTCTCCGTCCCCTCATGGCCTCATGCAGCCCCCATCCCCTCAGGGCTAACAAACCCCTCCATCCCCTCAGCAGCCCCACAGTGCTCTCCATCCCCTCATGGCCCCACGAAGCCCCATCCCCTCAGGAGCCTCGCAAAGTCCCCCATCCCCTCACGGCCCCATGAAGCCCCATCCCCTCAGGGCTGACAAAGCCCCCCCCACCTCATGGGGGTTGCTCTCTCACCTCTCATGGTCCCATAAAGCCCCCACTCCCTCGTGCCCCCACCTCCCATGCACTCACACAATCCCACCCCATGCCCCCCTCCTCTTTGCAATCCCCACCCCTTGTTCCCCATCCCCACGACGACGTCTCTCCTTGTGCCCGCAGGTGCTGTCAGCTCCAACCCACAACCCCGGCTCTCTCTGAAGCCCCAGCAGCCATTCACGTCAGGACACCCTCAGGCAGCCCAAGGGAGGAAGGCAAAACTCAGGCAGAAGCACAGCAGGAGTCCCAGCAGACCCGCACACCATGTTCTACATGCATTTGCTCGTGAACAGGCGTGGGCCTCTGGCCAAGATCTGGCTCGCTGCCCACTGGGAGAAGAAGCTCACCAAGGCTCACATCTTCGAGTGCAATTTAGAGGCTACCATTAAAAACATCGTTTCGCCAAAGGTATGTTATTTAAAGCGGGAGAGCAGCTCCTGGTGAGCCCTGAGGTGTGAGTGCTGCAGGGAATGGGGCTATTGCTGCTGTAAGCACGTAGTAAGAAGCATTTGTGGCTGCTTCAAAACCAGCGTGAGGCAAATCCCTACTCTGATTTTATTCAGTTCTGACTCAGACGTAAGTCTCAATCCCATTAAATGATAATAATAGAAATATCTTGCTTGTTATTTTACTCTTGGAGGTCTGTGGAATGTACTCGTCTGTGGAGTAAGAACATTTTTACTGTAGCATTCAAACTGGGCCCATGAAGATGAGGGAGCACCTCTGCTATGAGGAGATGAGGGAGATGGGGGTTTTTAGCCTGGGGAAGAGAAGGCTCTGAGGAGACCTCATTGCGGCCTTCCAGTACTTGGAGGGAGCTTACAAATGGAAGGGGGGTCAACTGATAGTGATAGGAGAAGGGGTAATGGCTTTAAACTAAGAGAGGGGAGATTTAGGTTAGATATTAGGAAGAATTTTTTTACTTGGAGGTGAGGTGCTGGTACAACTGCCCAGAGGGGCTATGGGAGCCTCATACCTGGAAGCACTCAAGCCAGATCCTCAAGGCCCTGAGTGTCAGTGTTGTGCCACTGGGCTCTCCTCAGAGATTTTGAGCTGCAGGTACACAACATAGCCTGGGAACTGACAGTATCTGAGGAAATTGTCTCAAAAAAAAAAAAAAAAAAAAAAAAAAAAAAAGTCAGCCAATACACCAAAATCAAGGGAGAAAGAAAGCTACTGTAAAATTTACACAGACATTTGAGGACCTTTTTTTGCTGATGTTATAGTAAGTAACTATCCTTACATTTTCAGTGGACTCCTTCCAGGCCCACCGTTATAAGCAGATAAGTATATAAATAAGCTTAATTGGAGACTCTTATGAGAGATTCTGCATTAATCCTTTGTGTATCACAGAGAAGTTGTGACTCAAACAAGCACAGATGTAGGCAGTATCCATGACTCAGTCCTTGGCCTCTCAGTTACGACTGCAATTGCATACAAGGGAACAGTGAGAACATTTTGCACTGTCATGAATTGATGGTGAAGGAGATCTGAGGCTTTCTGCTGGTGCAAGCAGGATTTTTTCCCCATGAAAATACCTGTTTGATAGTGTAAATTTCATCATTTGTCTTTCATGGGTTATGATTAATTGAGCATAATTGGTTTGGGACTTAGGCTTCAGCACAGCAATGCTTTGGAGCAGAAGCAATTAGAAACTCCTAGCTCTGAATATTGCTTTGTCTCTGATCCTCTGTAACAGGACAAAGGTCTCTGCAGGTGTGTTCTACCAGAACTCTGTTAACTACTGTGCAGTATTTCCATTTTAAATGTTGTTTTTTTTTTTCATTTGTTTGTTTGTTTTTTCCCCCAAACTTTTAACTCCTGAACAACTTTTTTGAATCACCCAAGTTTACAATAGCTCTGCGCACCTCTGGGCACTTACTGCTGGGAGTGGTGCGGATCTACCACAGGAAAACAAAATACCTCCTGGCAGACTGCAGTGAAGCTCTGACAAAAATGAAGACAGCCTTTCGTCCAGGTACGTGCAGAATTCTGCATCTTCCCACCTGCATTGCTTTCTGCTTTCATTAACTGTGGTTGTTCCAGTTACGTACACATCACTGATCTCAAAGGACACTGAATGTATTGGTGCATACTGCTGATGGTTTGTCTGGCTTAATTTAATGCAATTTCAATTCTTTGACTCCTTTAAAAGAAGCAATATCTTAAATGGTCCTACAAGAAGCAGCTTGAATTCAGCTTCCATTGCTAGATAATTAATTGTCACCGCTGATGACTCCAACATGTCTAAGAACATGTTAGTGCCAGATCACACTGTGTTTTGAGCTCTAGCCACAAAGCTAGCAAGGAAGGAAACTGAGATGATGGAATCCTTTCCAAAAAGGCTGTGTGTTTGTCATGTTAAGGTGACAAATGGGGAGGCACTGTTGTCTAAAAAAAGACTTAAAATACCAACATCCATTGCCAGCCTTAATGTGCTTTGTGACCTAGATTGGTTGCAGAATATTGAATACCCACTCTGCGTGATTTTCAAGGATGTGATTATGATCAGTTAATATTTTAAACGTGGAAATCACTAGAAGAATCACTTGCAATAAGTATGTAGTACTGTTTTTAGTGGGTGTTGTAGCAGCTTGGGGAGGACTGCACAGCACAAGAACAGAAGGCAGTGGTCACAGCTGCAGCAAGGGAAACTGCAACTAGCTGCAGGAAGGGAACAATTCACACTGGTAGTAGTAAAATGCTGAAACAGGTTGTCCAGGGATACTGTGGAATCTCCATCATCAGAAATAGTCAAAAGTGATCTAGCTTAAGAATTAATTCTGTTTTGAGCCAAAGCTTGGATTAGGTGACCTTCAGAAATCCCTTCTAACCTGAGTTGTTCCAGCACTTCCTGGCTGCTAGGTATTTGCAGCCAGTTTTTATGATTATTTGATGCTGGAGAATTGTGTTATATAGACCCTGGATAGAAAAACAAAGGATAATCACCCACTTGAAGTCATAGTGACTTTACGTAGCTGTGCATAAGCACAGTGTATTTACAGTTTTTCAAGAACTGTACTGGTGCCCAACAGCAGCATCCTCTTCTCTGTCTGTAAAATATGGCTCCTAATGTATATGCAAATTAAATATTTTCATTCCACTTTGGAATCTTGTTGACAAATTGCCCAAGCTTTTTGTTCTCTATAATGGCAACAGACCTTTCTGACAGGTTTATAGACTTACTATATCTATGTGGGAGAACATTACTTTTATGTTATTGGTGTTTATGTTGTTTCATTTTCTGTTCCTTTTAGGACTTGTTGACCTTCCAGAAGAGAGCTGTGAGGCTGCTTATCAGTCCATTACATTACCTGAAGAATTTCATGATTTTGAAACAACGCTACCTGATTTAAAGTAAATTCTCCCCTCCTTTTTATTCATTGTTTCACTGTTTTCAGATGTAAAAGACATCCTTACAGTAATCTGATCAAGACTTGCATGGAATTATTTTGATTTGACAACTGATCTCTTCTAAATTCTTTACAAGGCTGCAGTCACAACACTGCGTGCTTTTGTAGAGCTCCTCCAAGTTCATTTAATCAGCAAACTTTAACAATAAAATAATATATCAAGCCCATACTTCCAGATTTTCTCATTTACAATTGTCTGAGTGAACCCTGCAAAGAGATTCCTGTCCTTGAGAGGAGATGTAAAAGTTAGCCTGAATATGCTGTAATACCATGGAGCCTGTGGTTTGTAGCCTCACAATGTCATACTGTTCTGCTGTGTAAATGCTTTTCATTTCTGCTTCCTTGCTCTTTGGGCCCTGAGTGTTTTATCAGCTCTAGGAAGCTTTGCTTCCAATGAAAAGCCAATGTGTTTCTTTGGCTTTTTGGAATGAATCAGCACTAATGTAGAAAAAGTGATAAAAGCAGAAGGCTAAGATGCATTTCTGTGCCCCAAAAGAGCCAGGATAGTGGATTTCAACAGAGATTTTCTCTGCACCTCACCATAAATGCAGCTTGAGGGCATCTGTAAGTCTTTAGTATTTTCTAAGTGCAGCAGGGATGTAATACTAGTTATTCCATTTATTCAAGTACTCCAACGTGCCATATCTTTATGCCTTTTCTGCCTAACCAAAGAATCCCTATGGTTTGATGTAAAGATGACAGTGGGACATTAATTCAATGCCTTCTATGTGACAAGTGCCTGGTAGTTAGTAGGGCCTGAGTGTGACCAAACTCACACAAGCCCAGATTTTGTGGCAGAAGAATAGAGAACTAGGAAATACAGAGAGGACCATGGGTGCTTCCCTTGTCCTCTAGATATGCCTACTGTTTCTTGAACAGACTGCTTTGTGAGTGCACATCTGGATTGTTTGGTCACAAAGTTCCAGGCATGGGGATTACTCTGAAGTTCATTTAGCTAAATGCTTTCCCCTGATTCACAGACCTCTCCCTATGTAGCATTTTGTTACAATCATTCCAGATTCAGTCTTTGCTGTACGACGTACATTGGAGACTGCACAGGAGGCCTGGCTAGCAAAGAAAGCAGCTGCCTACTTGCTTAGAGGTAGCCCTCATAACCAACAGACAGCATCTGTTTTCCACATGCTCATTTTGAGCTTCTAGAGGAAATTCAAAGCAGTGGTTTTGATGAATCAAATCTTAAATAGCTTGAATGCTAATGGCTTTGGGAGACAGTTGTTCTCTCTCCACAGAAATGAGGATCAGGTGGGGTGCTTTTATTGCCATAGGAAACAGGAATTATCTTCTGGGGTTTTTCAGCAGAAGTCAGCTTTGCAGACTGGTTAGCAACACGTTTTCACAGTCAAGTGAAATGGTGAATGAGTTTCAGTTCATCCTGTATTTTGTATAATGTTTCTTTCATCAGTGCCATTGATGTTGCTGAGCATTTTACCTTGAATCAGAGCAGAGCTGAAGACATCACACTTAAAGAGGATTATGAAAGCAATGTACTTCTCTGTGATAGGAACTTTGGTGAGAGAAGTTGAGAAATTAGAAATATTCCATAAGGAAAAGTATGTTTTATGCAAAATGTTGTACAGTGAGTAATTTCTCTATGTGAAAAGACTATCACTAAAAGAGTATTTGTTTATGTTTGTGCTGGCTGGCCTATCGTGTGGTCTCATGCTTAAATTTCCCTGTAAGTACCCTACCTAAGTAATAGATGTGATATTGGAAACAGAGAATCAAACCCAGCATTTGGTGTTAGATGAAATTGACTTTTGTCCATTCCACTTTGAGGCATGGGATGTCCTACAATCTTTTGAATGCTATTTGAAAAACTCAGGAGATGGAGAAATTTCCCATAGATGTGTACAGATGGAGCATGACACTTTCTGTATTTGTCCAGATGAGGAATCAGATGCACTGAGAAAACAGAGCTGCTTCGATGTGAGCATCCTGATGAGCAGCTGCAGCCTCGTGGCTGATCACAGCTCTGCAAGCGTGAGTGGAGACAAGGCTGCTGTGCATGAGGGCTCGTACTGCTTGGAGCAGGACTGCTTCGGGGATGAGGAGGCTGGTGCAGACATGATTGGTAGAGAAACAGAATCTCTTTCTTTCAAAATGTTTTTATTATTGCAAGAGAACAAATGAAACAGCGTGAAAGTCGTTTGCAAACAGCAATTCTTTCTTCTGTTTTTATGCTGCATTTTTTGCAACTTGTCACTGTATGTGTGATCATTTAGATGTCACTAAGTAAAAATTGAAGATTTTAATTTTAATTTTTTTTTAGAGTTAAATGCATTTGATTTATATTTATTATTGAGTAATTTGATTTATATTTATTAGAAGTGACATTAGGCTACAGCAGGCTACTGCATGACAACTAAAGCTTAGAATGACTTAACTGTGCGTTTTCTATTTAAGAAATCTTATTGAGGGATGAACAAAATGGCCTAACTAATGGCATTCTTGATCTGGAGGAAGAACTTCCTTTGTCACAAGACCTGCAAGAGAACAGCACAGCCGGTGAGTTGGCAGCACCTCCTCCTCATGCCTCATGTGAACAATGTTCCTGTATCAATGCCTCAGTTACTCCCATTCAGCTTTGCGTGCATGGATTAATATCCCAAGCCTTTTTCCTTTGTTAGTTTCCTTTCCTTTTTCCCTGATATGTGTCATTCACCATTTTAAGTATAATTTAATTGGACCTAGGAATTCTGGATACATAACTTGACAGTGCTTAGAAACACTTCTGTATGATATCCTGAGACCCACACTGCAGCTTAGGCAGTAATATCACTTTTGCAGGGGAAAGAAAACAGAGTGAAGTAACTTTGAATGTTACCTGCCAATATGTCTGACTTCGTATTTCGGCCACAAATGACTTTTAGTAATTCATACAGGTGTTCTTAGTCTTGTTTCAATTTGGTATCAGTCTGTTGAAATTCAGTTTGTTTCACTATCTGCCTTAATAGGGTCTTGTGTCAGCAGAATGTAAGCAGCAACAATGCAGGTGTACTGGTTCAGGTCACTGTGAGATTACAGGCTAAATCAGAGTTTGCAAATTCTAAGCTTTCCTTTGTCTGCTGTCTTGAATGTTGTGAGATGGAGAATTTATTCCATCCTGACAACATTTTGATCTGGGTTATTTGCTGGGTTTTCTTATAGCCGAGTCCAACCATGCAGACACTGCAGTGAAGACAGAAAGTCATCTCATGAATGAAACAATGCTTTTGCCTAAAGAAGAAGAAGGATTTGTGCTTGAGCCAGTTGATGATACAGGTCAGAACTCCATCGGTTTCTTGCTGGCTGTTTGCATTGCTGTGTTTGGTTTCTCCTTGTTAGTGTAAATATTTACAAAACATTATTTTCACTTTTGTTTGCTCCTGCTGTCAGAGTTCTGTTCTATGATCATTCTCATACAAAACCAGTATCAGGTTGATGGGTATTATCTGATCTGCTCAGTTCTCTGCTTACAGCTCCTTCCCCATACCAAACCAAGTGCTGCTGCTCTGCAGTTCTGCTGGCAGTGCAGCCTGTTCAGCAGTGTTACCAAAAGTTCAGCTGAGCTTTTACTGCCAGTAACACCTCTATGATCTCTTGTGTGTAAAACAACAACCCTATACTTTGAGGCTTTGAGTTCTCTTGTCTTTATTAAGATTAAAAAAGAAAAATGTCTCTTTTCATCTATGTGTAAATCTAGATCTCTGCTATTCTGATGGTGGCTATTAGCAAATGAACGAGTTCATATTGATGATATTTAGAATACTGGCATTTTCCAGCCTGCCAAGACAAGATTCAGGAAGCTATGGTTGTACAACCAATCAGCAGCTCTGTTTTGTGTTTACAATCTACATCTCAGTATAATTGCCAAAGTATTAAACTGACCAATACAGATATTAATTATAAGATAATGAAAGCTGTAGAGTACACTGGGAGTTCTTGGAACAATTAATTCCTGGTGGATTAAAGATAGCCTACTCAGTCCTGTTCACGTATCATGTGTTCTCATTAAGTCATTGTGTTCCTGATTCCTCAGTACAGTATTCATGTCTCCTGTAATTAAACACCTGTGGGTTTCCTGTACAAGAATACAGAGAGGAAACTTTCCAGACACTTTTGGGGGAACAGGGCATCCCCTTCAACTCTGTGAAGTCAGGAGGTCTCCAGCTGTCCATTTACTCACACTGGTTCTCTTCACACTTAAGTTTTCCATGGATGGGACCTTATTTATGTGTGTCTGCTCTGTAATGGCTGTTGATGAATGAAATGAAATGAAATGAAATGAAATGAAATGAAATGAAATGAAAAACATGCCTCGATCAGAAACAGGAGGGTTGAACAACTCCTTGTCAGCTTTGAATACTGTAATTCCAAACAATGAACAAGTGGCTGAAGGGGACAATTAGCTGAGGGTCTTCAGCTGTCCCCATCTCTGCTAGTCAGCACTCCAGGTAGGTGTGTCTGTGACAGAGGCCAAGGATCACAGATTGTTAACAATGGGAGGAACCTCTTGTGACCATGTGTGTACTGAGGTCAATGCTTTTTTATCTTTTGAACGCTTGATCTCTTTAGATTTCAACCAGAGGAAAAACAATAAAAGGAAGAGGAAGCTGCTTGTGGATGCAGAGAAGGAGCTTAGCTGCTATGCTATATACCACCAGCTTAACAACAGCATGGGCACCCTTGTTGCATTAGACCTTGCACCTCCAACTAAACAAATAATGATGTGGAAAGAATCAGGAGGAGTGGAAACACTCCTGTCCCAGCCTGCACAGCATTTGTTTCATGCTGAGCTACAAACGGTAAAGATTTCTTCCTTGTTGGTTTGTGTGCCTCTGTGTAGGTGATGGGACTGTTGCACATCCAGGATGGATCTGTCAGGGGTTTGGTTTTATGTGAATCCCTAGGCAACTGCAGATGCATAACATTGCTGGAAGTATTGTGTCACAGCTCCGTTCTATTGGATACCTAATGATTATTTGTATACTCATCATTAATTGCTTCAGCAGAAAGACCATCTGTACAGCTCCTGGCTTCAATCTCCAGTGCTCCAGCAAGTTAAAAATGATAAGGAGAGCTTGCCTTTCAGGTGCTCCAGAGGTTCTGATTGCTGTGTCCCATGGGTGAGCAGGGCAGGTCAGAACACCCCTTCCATGCTCATAGACATTAATGCTCTTTTTGTGCAAGGGAGAGATATTTGCTTTGTGGAAATGTATCTGTCATGCCCCTGTGTATTATCTTTTGAAGAAGTTGTACATTTAAGAATGATGATAAAAGGAAGAAAGATCGACTTGTATGCAAGGAGATGGAGAAAGGTGCAGTGCTGACTTGCACAGCAGCCTCATGTTAATTGCACTGTGTTCTCTCTGTTGGATCTGCTGGCAAAGAGCTCAGCAGGTTCCATGGAGCTTCACCTCTTGGAGTCCAGATGCACAATTACAGCTTGTTCCTTAGCTGTTCCTAAGACATTTCTTCATAGAATTTGCTGCCAAAGGGCCATTCCTTTTTTAAAGATGCAGATTTGAAATGACCTAATGCAAATCTCTAAATTCTGGGGTAAGGTAATTAACATGCAACTCATCTTCATACCTTTGCTTTGATGCTTGTGAATAATCTAACACTGTATCCTGACAGTAAACAAATAAAAATAATTGCTTTCAGTTCTTTGCAAAATGCTTCAAGAGAGGTAGATTTGAAATGAGAAGAAATGTAACACAGATGGAGATAGAAAAAACGAGGAAGGAGCAAGATGCCACAGGTAATGTTTTAATCCTATTGTGGCAGAATTAACTGTTAACAAATGCTCTCTATTTTATATGATGTTTCAGACATGCAGTATTCTACAAATCAAAGGTCAAAACATTTCAACCATCAACAAAACAGGCTGTATTCATAATAAAAATACTTGGGTTTTTTGTTTTTTTGTTTTCTAAGGGCAGATGAGCAGTCACTTCATCTTAAGCCTTGTGTTTATTTGTCAATGCAGAGATGCTGATAACAGACGAATCGGGTTACCTGCAGGAGTTGGACTGCTCAGAGGCTGAGAGAAAAACTGACAATGATTTGTTTGCACTGACATCATGGAATAGCAGCAATGGAACTGTTAACGGCTTTGGTGAAACCCTGGTAAGTGGTTTCCTTACTTTTTGCAGACCCAAATGTACTTCCTGGCTTCATTTTGTGTTGGGGTTCCTTTTCAAACAGGTTATGAAATTGTTAGCATAGGGTTGAAAAGCCTTTTCACTTCAGGACAGTTTATTTAGAAGCGTTTTGGCAGACTCTCACAATGAGTGAGCTGTCTATTAAGATGCCTATTAATTGGTATAGATTACAGTATAACCACTAAGTATGGCTGGAATCTTGATAAAAACCACAGCCTGTTTGTAAAGAAAAGATGTTTTTTTCATTTCTAAAGATGGCTATGCTTATCTTTTGTGTCAAAAGTGTTTTTTTTCTCAAAACACTCAAGCAATAACAAATTATGTAGTTCTGCCATCTTTAATGTGAAAGGGGGGCCTTAGAAGTGTATGGAAGTCCTCGAAGTTGACAAAGAATGACAAAACTGGACTTGATGGCAGGAGAAAATTCAAGGCTTGTGCCTAAGCAAGGGTAGATCCTATGTGAGAAAAGGCGTGGTAGAAACAGCAGCTATTAAATTATTTTGGAAAATATTTATAACAATCAATTATTTGAACAGAATTGTTATCATACAGCACAATAATGCATAAATTGCAGCACCAATTGATCCACCTTCCTGTTCTGACAGCAGGATGAAGCTGCTTTCTCTGAGAGCTCCATGCTGGTGAATAATTCAATGGGCCAAGAAGCTCCAGTGCAGCAAGCTGAGATAACACACGTGTGTATACTTAAAGCTGACAGTTCTCACACTGCAGAACAGAACTGCATTATTTCACAGAAATATTTTTTAAAAATAGTTACAATTCCATGAATTTACTGTGGGTTTTGGTGTGCTACCAATTTTTGACACATTTGCCCTCTAACTTTCTGCTGTATTTCCCATCAAGGATCTAGAAATGGAAAATAAAGACAATGAAGAAATTAAGTGGAGCAAAAGAACTCTTCAGTTGTTAAAAATCTTGCAGGTAACAGTGCTGGATTTTGAAATTAGAAGCCCAAACCAGGTATTGATTTCCATTGGACCGTTTCAGAAAACCTCCTGCTTCCACTGTGTAGCATCACTGTGTGCCATATGCAGAGTATAACTGCATTTTGTTGGCTGTTGGTGGAGGAAACCAGGATTCTGAGTGCCTGACATCATGTCCATTCTCCCATAGCTGCTGGAATTGCTAGAATGTTCTGCACTTCTGTTTGCAGTGCTTGCTGTAGCAATAATACTTTGTTCTCTTCAGCATCCCTGCAAAGCTCACTTCCAACCACCTGCAGGTTTGCAGGATCTCTGCTATGCATTGCAGGGTGCCTTCATTTGGCTGCTCATCTGCTTGAGCTCTTCCTGAGATGAAGGCAATGGAAAAGAGTGGTGGTTGTGCTACAGATGGTAACCCCTTCTCTAAAAGGTTTTAATGCCCCAGAGCTTTTAAGATGCTTCAAAATGAACAAGGCAGGAATTGCATCAGGAAAGCTTATCCTGCCTTCCTTGCAGAAATAACTTCAGGGCTGGTGAAGCTGTGTGATACCACATGCTCCATCAGCAGGAACGTGGCAGGCACCCTGCGAGGCAGCACAGGCTGTCCCAACACCAAATGTCCAAACCTTCACTGGGTCACCTCATTGCTGAGTTCTGCCAAAGCAAAGCTCACCAAACCCTGCTCCCAAGCCTGGCTTTTCCCCACAGCTTGAGTTTGGCTCTGCAGCCTTCTTGGTTGCTTAATTATGTGAACATCTTTAAAAGGTTTTGTGCAACACCCATAAATAACTATGTATGTGCAGCCATTAAAAAACAAGCAAAAATAATGATGAGTTAGCTGGAACTGGAATTGCCTGTGGTGTGGCTGGTTCTGTATCCCAAGAACAGGGCACGCAATGATTTTTATTGGTTTGCATCATGAAAACCATTATAGATAGGCTTCCTCGTATGCTTCAGTGCTGTTTCACTGAGTTCAGTGGAGCTGTGGGCATGTGTAGATGTTAGTAACACATGTAGGTGCTAGCAATACTACAGCCATCAAATGTTAAGAGCCACTATGTGAGTGTAAATGCCTGCTAAGATCCTGTTCAAGGCCTTCAAGCAGGAAATAATGGCTCTGAGCAGCACTGTTTAATTCAGAACTTACTGAGCTCTGGTTTTCCATGACCCAACTGCTTTTCTTTTTCTCTCCTGCAGCACCTGAACAAATCTGGAGTGAATTCCTTCAGCTTACAGGAGCTCTGTCAGAAGAATAACCGGAAAGAAGTCGCAGTGAAGTTTTACATCTTCCTTGCTCTGCAGAAGCAGATGGTTGTTGAGTTGGTTCAGCGTGCTCCGTTTGCAGACATCACAGCCACTGCCGGCCGAATGTTCAGTGCCCACTGAAATCACACAGCAGCCAGATAAGCTCATCAAAACACCATTCTATTCTCTTTTTCCTGCAAAAAAAAATGGAACTCTCATCAAACTACAGTGAACTGAGCAGAGTTCTTTCATTCCTGTGCCCTCTCAGAACCACACGGTAACGAATTGGTGCCGCTGTGTGGCTGCAGTGTTGGTCAGCAAGATGCTCACTGGTGTGTTCAGTTTCAATGTAGATATGTTTATAAAACAAGCTGTTACTCACTCTGTTGATAATAGGTAGCTAAAATACATGCTCCCCCTCAGACATTTACAGCATGATGAAAGTTCTTCAAAGCCTTTCTTAGAGTCCAGTGTTGGAAATTAGGTTATTTTCAGCTTGTGTGTGTTAATTAGGTACCATGGTCAGAGAAGGGAAGTCCTCTAAGCTATCTTTGTATTTATTCAAAATTATTTATTTCAGAGAATGTTCGCTTTTGTCGTGTTAAGCTCTAACAAGCAGCTGTCTGCAGCAATGCTGTTATTTGGTGAGATGCAGACTTCTGCTGTCCTTGAGGTCAGGAGAAAATCATCCTTCCAAGAACCCCTGCAATGTTCCATTTTGTGGGGCGTTTATACAAAGACTAACAGCTTTCCTTATGCATAGGCCAATGTAAAAGTGGCTGTTTGACTGGAATGTTAGTGATCCTTTGTACATTTATCTAATTTATTTAACACCTGTACTGGCATTCTGTAACCTTGCTAATTTCCATGTGTTGAAAGCAGATGCAGCAGCGCAGCACGGAGTGGCTGTGTGCATTTGGTGCTCCAAAACATCCCAGTGCTCTGGATGTGCTGACACCTCTTTATATGGAATCAATAAAAGTTTGACCAAGATGTTTCCTGTGCTCCCTGGTATTTGTTCTGAAGGATCAAAAGTGGTGCCACCTCACTTTAGCCTGGGCTCATCTTGGTGTTTGCTGTGATCTTTACATGTATGAGGGTGGATGATGCTGTCATCCTGACTCTCCAGGTCTTCATGTTGGTTACACCCCTGTGTGCCCAGCCTTGCTAATGTGGTGCTCAACACCACGAGGGGTCAGGAGGGAAACAGCACGGAGGACAGGCCTGGGAGACGAGGAGAAGCCATTCCTTCCCCTGAAGGCACCTGAAATGAATATGTGTTGCAGCAGAGCTGCTTCCTGCACCACGTCTGCCACTGCCATACCAGCGAGAGGAGCTCTGGTGGCAGCCAATGTGAGAACTCATTAATTTGCTGTTTCAGAGAGAGAGGCTTTGCATTGGGTTCACCAGGAACTGCAGAAACAAAAGGAGGTTGGAGGAGAGCAGAAGACAAGCAAGAATAAACCAGAGGCAGGTTGGCAGGATATGCATAGATTGAAAGCAGTCTGTATGGCAGAATAAATGAGGTGCAAACCTTGCTGTAAATAGCAGAGGAAGAAAGACAAGCATATTTACAAAACAGGTTTGTCAGAATTCCAAAATAACTGGCTGGGGAGTCACACATGGAAGCTGCAGAGGAAGCTCAGCATGTTGGCACTGCTTTTACATGGGCATGGGCTGAAACGTGGGCTTGGTTTTCCTTCTCGGTCAGGTGTGCTCCGAGGTTGGGCTGTGATTTGGATCCAGGAACACGTCCTGCTTTGACCTTGCCAGCACACGAACTGTTTCCTTCCTTAAATCCATATGCACATGCAGACGTGTAGGATCCAACGCACGCAGCTGTCAGGTCGGTACGTGCACCGCGACCTCGCTGCGCTGCCCTGAGCTCAGCGGAACGGAGCTGCAGCACCGGGCTTTCCCCACCGGTGGGCTGCAGCGATCGATGCGAGCCCTGCTGGGATGGGCAGAGCTCAGCCTCCCACCCCAGGTGCAGCTCCTTCCATCGTTAGGTTCGGCCGGCTGTGGATGGAAATGTGCGGGCAGCACCGTGAGTAACCACGGAACGGAATTCACGTTTCCCATTGCACTGAGAGCACCTGCCCGTACCCCAGCCCGGCTCGCCCCGTTGCCGCAGCCCCGCTCTGCTGATCCTTCGCTCCAGCTGCCGTGAATAGAAGCTTTTTTGCTTTACGGACGTGCGCCGTTAGCGGGGCTGATGGGGGCACGGCGGGTGCGGAGGGGTCTGGAAGCCCGACTTTTTATTTTTCCTGCTTTTTGGGGGGGGAGTAACCATAGAAACCAGGGAAACCCCGCGGGGGGGCACCCGGGCTGCCGTCGCTTTAAGAGCGCAGAGGAGCGAGAGGCAAATTACGCAGCTGCGACGCTCATCCCTCCCTCCCTCCCTCCTGCCTCCATCCCTCCCTGCCGGCTCCATCCCTCCCTCCCTCCCTCCGCCGCCGCACCCATGGAGGCCGGCGCAGGTGATGGAGGCCACGGGATGGTGGGAGGGGGGTCCCGGCCCCGCTCCGTGCCTCCCCCGCTTACCTCCCGCTCTCTCCTTTCCCCTCCAGGTCGCTGAGCCCGGCGTTGCCGCCCCCGAGAGCCGCGGGCCCCGCGCAGGTGAGCAGGGAGGGGGCAGCGGGGGTCCGATCTGGGGGGTTTGAGGACGGGGGGAGTCTGCGTGTGCCGGGGGGGTTGAAAGGCAGAGGGTGCTTGGGGAGGGCAGTGCACCAGGCCTGCAGCACAGCCCATGGCACACACCGGACACACGTCATGCGTGCTCCAGCCCTGCACTGCATGCAGCAGCCCCGCATTGCACACGCCTGCACTGTGCCCATAGAGCAGCAACGCAGGCACTGATGCCCTATTGCGTGCACTGGGTCCCTGCAGTTGGGAATTGCATGAATTGTGGTCACTGGCCCTGCAGTGCACCCCCACTCCATGTAGCAGACTCACCCTCGATGCATTGTACCCATATGACATGCGTCATACCCATATGGCATGCACCAGAACCCCACCGCATGCACCAAACCCACCCTCCATGCACCAGAACCCCATGGGCACATCAGCCCCCATCCTCCGTGCTCCAACCCCACACCACATGCACTGGACACACCCTGCATGCATGCACCAGACCCTCCTCGCATGCCCCAGACCCACACCTGCTCCATGCAGAGCCCAGTTGTGCTTCCCAGCACTACGGAGCACTGCAGGAGCTGGAGCTGCTGTGCAATTGAGATTTGATTACTTAATGGCTTAAAGCTCCATCTCCAAAGGGATAGAAAGCACACAAGCAGATTGATGAGCTGTGCGCTCCTTTCCTCTTCTCCCTGCAAGGTCAGTGCTGCCTGCTTGTCACATCCAAACCCACTGCTGTGCTTTGGGTGTGCCTGTAAAATAGCAATGCTCCCACCTTGCTCTGGGTAACACATGGGCTGTGTTGTGACCTTGTGCAGGAAAGCAAAGATAAAATCTGCAGAGCTTTGGGGGTCTCTGCTTGGGTTCAGGAAAGGCGATGCTTGCAGATGTGTGCCCACAGCGAGGAGCGTTGCAGCAGGATGGGAGAGGAGATGTGGCACAGTGCTAAATGGGACGGTGCAGCAGCACAGGGACCCTATTTAGGGTGGGTAGGGGTGAGGGCAGCCCTACTGCTGCCACACTGCAGCTGCGTGTGTGCTGGGAGGGGTGGCTGTTGTGTTGGAGGATGAATCCATCGTCTGCATCTCTGCCTTCCTGCCCTGAAGGAGAGCTTTCCTCTCCCTCCCGTGTGTCTGCACGGGGTGGTGGGAGCACTGGGCACCCCCTGCTGTGACCATCAGGTCTGGGTCGCAGTGCTGCTCTTGCTGTGACTGCCGCAGGGTTTGTCACGATGCTCTCCTCGGGGGAGGGATGAGCTGCAGAGCGTGGCATCCAATGGTCTCTATTTTCCTGCAAACTCCGGGTGTCAGCTCAGTGTTTTGTTACAAAACAAGGGAGAATGAAAGGAAAAAGCCCTGTGTGAGAGAACAGCTCGTAGCAGGATTGATTTTTCTGGTGGTGCTGAGTAAACGCTCTGCGTGTTGTCTCTCTGCTCTGCTCTGATGTGACCTCAAGCAGTATCAGTCAGTCTGTCTGCAGACCGAGGATGTGCGTCCATCCATCTCTGCATTGGCCCCGCATCCATCCAGCTACATCCCAGTCCTTTTTTCCATCCCTGCCGTGATTCTGGCACTACTGCTGTTTTCTGGGCCGCGGCGTTCCATCCCAAATCGAGTCTGTGGCTGTTTACTGTTGTTTTGCACTTCCTTTATTTTTAGCATGAAGGGAAAGCAAAGTCGGCGCAGAAAAGACAGTGAGGCGGGTTTGTTCCTTGTGGAAGTGGAGCTGTGATCTGCTGCCCCTTTTTGTTCTCTGCATTCGTTGAGGATGTCTGTGGGGGGCTGCTGTGGCCCTGGGGTCACGCTGGGACAGTGCTGGGGCTGCTCGGAGCCACCGTGGCACAGCATTCCCATGCAGAACGTGGCAAGGGAAAGGAGCAGGTGTGGGATTTAGGTGGCTTTGAATGGGGTCTGGTAAGGTGTGTCAGCTCTGGAGTGTCCCATTGCTGTGCTGAGGGGTTGGTGCTGCTCATGGGATGGATCAAACTGTGATCCAGCCCCTTATGGGGTCACATCTGCTGCTGCTTGGGGCTCTGTGTGACATGTGGCAGAGGCACTGCATGGAGGTACACCTGGTGGCTGTCCCAGATAGCCAGGAGAAGCTGTGGGAATGGGAAGGACCCACCCGACAGGTGGGTTGGGGGCATCTCAGAACATCCTGTGGGGTTTGGCACTGGGCAGCCATGGGAACCCCAACAAAAGAAGCAGCGGATGGGGAAATCTGAATGGATGGGGAAGGCACCACAGGGGCAGGAGGCTGCTGCAGCAGCCAGGTTAGTGAGGTGCCTATCTGCTTCTGTGTGCTCCATGTGAGGGCAGGATGAGCTGGTGGGGCAGGGCATGGCTGGTCCTGCGGGATTGGGGGAAGTGAGGGTATCTCAGGAATTTGCAGAATTTTTGCAGAAGCAAAACCCCCAGGGGAGAGAGCTGAGGGTCTTTAGAGGTGATGGTCAGCAGGGTCCTGCTGCACACAGAAAGCCTAAAGAGCAAAGACAGTCCAGCCCTAATGGTGTCCATCCCTGGCACAGCCTGGAGGAGCAGCACTGTTCCATCTTGATGTGTTTCCCTGGGAAGCACCGACCCCGGAACCAAGGCTGAGCACTCACCTTGATGGGGAGAAGCCCTTCCCTGCAGCACGGGGCTGAGCTGTGGGTGCTCTGCCCGCCCTCCTCGCTTCACTCCGTTCCATTGTGTGGTCTCTGGGGGGGGCTGTGCCTGGCACTGCTGCCCGTGCACTGTCAGCATGGAGCGCAGCACTGCCTGCTGCTGAGCACAGCAGATACAGAGTGCTACCAAAGCAATGATGGCTGAAAGCATCATTGGGATCATTGGGATGGAGGGAGCGTTGTGGGGTCATGGGGTGCTGTGTCCTAGGAGCAGGGTCATGCTGGGAGCTCTGTGGGGGATTTTGCTATTGGTTGGTGTGATGAGACAGCATTGGAGCTCGCAATGGGCAGCCCCATCCCACCATTCCCCAAAGCTGTGTTTGGCACAGGTACAGCTCTGGTTCCTCTGGACACTAGCACTCCCCAAACCCCCCAGCATTGCTCCTGGTGCCCTTCTTCCCATCCCTCATCTTGCAGAAAAGATGAAAGTAAAGCAGAGGAAATCAGCACCCAATTGGGGTCACGACAGTGGGTGCAGGAACCCCCTGGGTGCTCCAGATCTGATTCCTCTCCTTCTGCCCTGGCTCCTGATGTTCATTTTTAAGGTTCTTGGTGTTTTGCTGCTGTGCCGTACCCAGCTTGGGTTGCCTCCTACCCAATATTTTTATGGAATTTCTTCCTGCCCATCCTTGCAGCTTTGCTTTGACCCCTTCCAGAAGCCACATTTATTGGGTATTTTCTCCTATTACAGTGACCTGTTCCTGATTCCTCCTCTGCTCTCCCCATTCCTGCCATTGTCTTCCTGGCTGGAGAGTGCACGGCGTGCTCGGGGACCCTCTCATTTATCTTTGAACACTTTCCATTTCCTCTCTGTGTGTTTTTCCTGATGCCTAATGGACGAGCAGCCGGAGCTGCTACTGTGGGCTGCCTGCCATGCTGAGCAGCTCCCACCCAGGCTGCAGCTCAGCATTTCAGCTTAGGCCAGGATGTGGGTCCCACCAGCAGAGTGACACCTCCATCCCTTTGCCATTTCCCTCCCAAATCCCTGTTGGGCTCTGCAGCAGAGCTGCCAGCAGGCACTAAGCATACACAAAGCAGAGAGCTGTGCTGCGTTTCGCTCTGTTGCATTTCAGATGTGATCACATCACCTCCCCTTTCCTTCATGGTGAGGTTCTGTAGCTGCTCATCCGGGTTCACAAGACGGCGCTAATTGCGAGTGCAAATAAGCAATTACCTCCGCCCTCAGAGGCAAAGTGTGCAGTGTGCGTGGGAAGGATGTGCAGGTCTGTCTGTCTGTCTGCCAGACCTGCCCTTCTTGGCAGCCCGTGGGCACGGTGTGGCTTTTGGGGAGATGGAAGCAGCCTATGGATTTCCTGAGAACAAAGAGAGCATTGCTTGATTGCCAGCAGTGAGAACCGAGGCGGTGTGGTGCAGGAAGGCACCCAGAAGCCTGAGCAGGGAGAACGTGCACTGGGTTGGTGTGCACCTGAGGGCTCCCTCCTGAGCCGAGCTTTGCAGTTTGCCCACGGGGAATGGGAAAGGCAGGAGTGGGAACGGGAGCTGGCAATGGGAAGAGCAGGATGCAGCCTGTGGGGCAGGCACGGATTGGCATGCAGCACTCGGGGCGGTGAGAGGGCGAGGAGTTCACCTCCGTGGCTGCAAATCCCGCAAAGCTCGGCCCGAAGGCAGCACGGTGGCAGTGCACGGGGCCGGGCTGTGCTGCAGCATTCGCTGCTGGGGGCCGGGCTCTGCTGGATGCTGATTCATGCTGCTGCATTTGCAAAGCCCCGCGGCCGCGGGCAGCTTATTCGGGAGCTCTGATTCTGCAGCGCAGAGCACTGCTGTCCCTTCTGAGAGCTTCCCCCCATCCCTGTGACCCTCAGAGCCCAGGGACTGGGCCCCTCGGTGTTGGGCATAGGGCTGCTCTGGCTCACTCTGGCTCGTTGGTGCCCTATGCTGGGATACAGGCAGGTGTGAACCCAGGGGGGAAAGGAGAGCACTCTGAGCATTGGACAGAAGTTACCCTTGGGGGAGACAATCTGAGATTTCCAACACAAAAGGCTCCATCAGGCGTGGGCTGGCAGCATTCCCTCCTCCCCTCTCACCCCACTTCTCTCCCCGCCTTGGCCCGCAGCCCAGGCAGCACTCAGCGGTCCCAACCCATCGATTATCAGAGGGCCCATTGCTGGAGCTACCCTGGGCTGGAGCTGCTGAGATCTGGGACAAATGCAGTTGGAATGTACCGGGATGGGGGGGGCATGCAGTGCCCAGCCATTCCCAGCACGCTGTGAGTGCCATGGGCAGCAGCGCTGCTCAGTGCCATGGATGCGCAGAGCTGATGCTCTCTGTAGTGATCCTCCTCTGCAGCAGTTCCCATCCCCACGTGGGCCCAGAGCTGCTGCCTGCTTGGGATCTGCCCTATTTATTTTCAGGCAGACAGGATCTGTGCTTCTCATGGGATTAGCAGCAGCTGCTGCTGCTGCTGCAGCATCACGCAGGGATCTGTGCTTCCTCACCTGATGTCACTGATGAATGGGCAATTCGGGTTTAATTAATGAAGAGCAGCAGGTGGCCCATAGCAGGGGGCAGCAGCGTGGAGCGGGATGCAGCAAGGGGCAGGAATGGGTGTTTCTGCCTTAGAAATGTATGTGCAGGTGTTGGTTGTGCTTTGCCTTATGTAGGGAGGAAAGCCTCAACCCTGGGCACAGCGCTGTGATGCTGCTGAGCCATGGCGCAGTCCCATCAAGGTGACCCAAGGACTGCATCGATACCTCACACAGCTGATGGTGGGCTCTGTCCCGGCTGGATTTCTCCATTTGATCTCCTCTCTCTGTTGCTTTTCCCCTGCAGTTCCCCTGTGCCCAGGACCCGCGGCACCACAGCCATGTCTCTGCCGGGGAGCAGACGCTCATCCACCGGATCACGAAGGTGAATACGCACAGGGAGCAGCAGCGGTGCCCACCCAGGGCCACAGCAGGGCAGGGAGCAGCCCAGGGATGCAGCTTTGAGGATTCGGGGCATTGCATGTCGCTGGATGCTGCCCACAGCTCCCCGACCCCGCATGGAGCACCCCCAGCACAGCACCCGTCCGTCTCTGTATGTGTCTGCCGCACTCGGCACCAATCTTGCAGTCTTGGGATCCACTCCATGCTCCCAGGATCTGTTCCTTTGCCCCAGGATCCACTCTTGGTCCCGTCCACCAAAGGTGGTGTTGGTGGATACCTCCCCCCACCTCCCCCACACACACTGCCCTGGGATTGGGCAGCAATGATGGGAGAGGCATTGGTTCTTGGAAAGGCTCTCCTTGAGCTGTAGCAATAGCAAACAACAGAGAAAAAGTGAGGGAAGAAGCATTTATTCCCCTCGGAATGTTTCCATACCCTGGGCTGTTCTTTTTTAGTTCCTGACCGCAGCCATCACCAGCAGAGAAGGGGCAGATATGCCCACGTGTGGGTGCTGTCCCCCCCAGCCCACTTCCAGGACACTCTCCTAGGGGCTCCCAGTCCCTGGGCATGGGGATGCCATGTGGGTGCCCATGGGATGGAGCGGGTGGGTTTGGGGTTTGGATTCCCCTACCCCCACCTTCACACCCGTCGCCGTCTCCGTGCCATTTTGATCCCTGCTGTTTGTTCTGTCCTTTTGTCTTGTGTGTTCTCGGTGCGGTGGTTGGCAGTCGCGGGCTTTATGGACGGAGTGGTTTTGCCTCCTTCTTTAAGTCGTCAGCGCCCTCAGCCACTCGGCCTGAGACACAGCCTCTTCTCCCTGCCTCCAGGCGCCCCTCGCCCCCCGGGAGGGACACCTACGGCACCTCCTCGCTGAGCAGCAGCAGCAATTCTGGCTCCTACAAGGGCAGCGACAGCAGCCCCACCCCAAGGTAACCCCTCGCCCGCAGCCCCACGGGTGCTGTCCCCATCTGGGGGTACCCCGGGCAGGGGGAGCATTGCTGGCCCCGGTGCCCATGTGCCATGGGACTGGAGCACAGGGGCTGCAGGATGAGGCCGTGCTGCTGTGCTCGGAGCTGCCGGAGGGGCTGCTGAGCCCCTGCCATCCCCACAGCTCCTCTACTGCTGTCATTATGTCTTCTCCCCATTGTCACCCTCCTGCCAGCTCTGTGCCCATCCCTCCTGTCCTGCCCTGGTTGTGGCTTGTGCGCTGCATGCGTTCCTCTCTCTGCTCCCTGCTCCCCAGGAAAGCTGCCTTTGGGGCAGAAGGTGCAGCAGGACTGTATTTGGGGCTCCCCATACATTGCTCTGGGCAGTGAGGCTCATCCCTTGGTTGGGACTGACCCCACTAACTGCGTTCCAGCTGCTGGAGGTGGCATTGCATCTGGGAGGAAATGATGGGGTCAGCCAGCAAATAGAGCAAGAATGGGTGGCCACAGGCATTGCCAGACCACCATCCCACCTGGCTGCTCCCAACACATTGCTTCTCTCTGCTCAGAACTACAGGGCTGCCTGCATGATGCCCGGCAGCTTTGGGCTGCACCATGGCAGTGCATGGGGGCTTTGCTCTGCTGCAGTGCACAGAGAGTTCAGACCACCCCACTGTGATGTGCAGGGTCTCAGTGCAGCCTGCTGCAAGACATGAGCATCTGGAGCTGTGCACAGCTCTGTGCCTGCTCCCTAGCTGAGCATGCAGCCATGGAGCAGCAGCCTCTCTCCTCTCCTCTCTCTCCATCCCATGCTTGCTGAGCTGCCCTGGGCTGATGCCCAAAGACATCCATCAACCTCAGCTGTGCTGATGCCAACACAGGGAGGGTCCAGAGCTGCTGCTGCAGTCTGGGATGTGTGGGCAGCTCAGACCTGCTTCACCATAGCCTACCCCACTACACACCTCTGGTGGGTCTGACCCAAATTTGGGGTCTCCATGCTCATGGTACATTTCCTAAGAGATTGCTCTGAGCAATGTGCGTGTGACATCTCCGTGGGGAGCACAGCCCCATGCCAGCAGTTGGGTGACAGGCGTGTCCCCGCAGGCGCTCGGCCAAATACAACCTGTGCAGTGACAACCATGGCATCAAACCACCCACACCAGAGCAGTACCTGACCCCACTGCAGCAGAAGGAAGTTTGCATCCGGCACCTGAAGGCCCGCCTGAAGGACACGCAGGAGCGGCTGCAGGACAGGTAGGTGTGGGGTTGCAGGGCTTCTTCCAAGCACATGGCTCTCTCTTTCTAATTTTCCTCAAATCTGAATTCACTGCCACAGCACGGAGCAGCTGGTGGGGCTGCAGAGGCTGGCATGCTCACCGGAGCTGACTGCGCTCTTCCTTTTGTGGCTGGTTTTTCTCTCCCACGGTTTTTCTGAATGTCAGCGTCACGCAGTGGCTGAGCTCCATCTGCTCCTCTGGGGGCTTAGGCACGTCCTCACTGCCCTGACAGCTGCCAGCCAGCCACCATGGGCAGCCGGTGTCCCCACACAGCCCTTAGAATCACAGCTTGGAAAAGAGCTTCAAGATCCCCAAGCCCAACCCCACCGTGCCCACTGACCGTGTCCCTCAGTGCCACATCTCCACGGATCTGGAGCACCATCTGGTGAGCCCACCACCCCCTGGGCAGCCTCTGCCACTGCATCACCACTCTTTCGGAGAGGAAATTTCTCCTAACACCCAACCTGACCATATCCTGCATTGTGAGGCCACCACCTTCCCCCCCAGTTAATTTCTGTTACCTGGGAGCAGAGGCTGACCCCAGCTTGCTCCAACCTCTTTTCAGGAACTGTAGGGAACAATGAGTTCTCCCTGAGTCTCCTCTTCTTCCTCGTGATCATAGAATCATCAAAGCTGAAAAAGAACTCTAAGATCATCAGATCCAACGGCCAGCCCATCCCCACCGTGTCCACATAGAGTCATTGAGATTGGAAAAGACCTCCAAGGTCATTGGGTCCAACCATCAACCCATCCCCACCATGCCCACCAAAACGTGACCCAGTGTGCCACATCTGCCCTTGTGAGCTGGCTGGGCACCACTGCTGGGGTCCCTGGGCGCCTGGATGCAGCCCGGGCTCCCAAACGTGTGTTTTTCTGAGTGGTTTTACCCTAAATCACTGCTCTGAACCATCGTGGGGACTGTAGGGCATCCTGCTTCTGGTGCAGCGGGGCCCGTGGTGATTCCATGTGCCTCCCCCCATCTCATTGCAGGGATGCTGAGATCGAGGACCTGAAGACGCAGCTGTCGCGGATGCAGGAGGACTGGATCGAGGAGGAGTGCCACCGCGTGGAGGCCCAGCTGGCGCTGAAGGAGGCCCGCAAGGAGATCAAGCAGCTGAAGCAGGTGATCGACACGGTGAAGAACAACCTGCTGGAGAAGGACAAGGGGCTGCAGAAGTACTTCGTCGACATCAACATCCAGAACAAGAAGCTGGAGACGCTGCTGCACAGCATGGAGGTGGCACAGAACGGCGCGGGGCTGAAGGAGGAGGGGGCTGCTGAGTCGGCGGGGGGGTCCCCGGCGAGATCCCTCACCCGCAGCTCCACCTACACCAAGCTGAGCGACCAGGCGGGCGGCGAGCGCACCGTGGGCGGATCGCAGACCATCTCGGTGGACGAAGGGGCCGACAGCGGCTTTGCTGGGGGGGACGAAGCTCCCGGCCGCCCGGACTTGTTAGAAGGGGGGGAGCCCTGCGGGCGGCTGCCCCCCAGCTCCACCTACGAGAAGCTGCTGGGGCTGCGGGGCGGCGTGGAGGCGGGCGTGCAGGCCAGCTGCATGCAGGAGCGCGCCATCCAGACGGACTTTGCGCATTGCCAGCCCGACCTGGACACCCTCCTGGAGAAGGTGATGAAATCCCAAGCGTGCAGCTTGGGCAGCCCCACCTCAGTTTGGGTGTCCGAGATGGAAGACGTGGCGCCGGGCTGCGAGATGCCGAACCCCGCCGGAGTTATGGACCTGGAGCCCGAGGACGGGGAGGTGCCACACAACCCTACTGTGCAGCAGCCCCCCAGCGCCGGCCCCTCGGTGGCCATCGCCTGCGCGCCCGAGGAGGATGCGACAGCGGAGCCGGGCTGCGACGGCGCTCCATCCAAGAGCTATTGGAGCCGCCACTTCATCGTGGATCTGCTGGCCGTGGTGGTGCCGGCTGTGCCCACGGTGGCGTGGCTGTGCCGTTCGCAGCGGCGCCAGGGCCAACCCATCTACAACATCAGCTCGCTGCTGCGCGGCTGCTGCACCGTGGCCCTGCACTCCATCCGCAGGATGGGCTGCCGCGCCGTCAGCAGCCCCAACCCCGGGGGCGGAGCGCAGCCCTGACCCCATCCCCGCCCCGCACCCCGTGCTGCCCCCCAGCCCACCCCATGGAGCCGACGGCTGATTGTAGAGCCCCACGCTGGGGGACGTGGCGCTCCGTCCGCTCTGCTCCTCGTGCAGCCCCCCGGGGTGGGGGCGAAAGGGGGACGGGGTGCGCGTGCTGCCCTGAGCCTTTGTCCCCAGGGATGCCGAGGGCTGGACGCGGTGATACGAGGGGTGGCCAGGCCCTGTCCCTGCACGCAGCTCTGCGATGCTGGGGATGTCACCCCGCGGTGTCACCGCGTGGCACTTTGCTTTCTTTTCGGTTGTCCTCGCACGGACCCGGGGACGTCGCTGCAGTGGGAGATGGCGAGGAGGCACCCAGCAGCGGGGTGGGGGCTGCGATGGGGTGCAGCCTGGCCCCTCCCCAGGCACTCTCCTTGCTCTGGGTGCAGCACTGCACAATGGAACATGGAGGAGGACAGAGGGAACCCCCCTGGACATCGAGGGTGGAAATGGGATGGAATTGGATATACCTCACACCTGAGCAAGGCTGAGCCGCCCGCAGCGCCGTCCATTCCGTTCATTTATTTGCTTTGCACTATATTCACTTTCATTTCCTTTTGGTAAAGTTGGGGCCCTGGGACCGGGTCTGGCTGCTGTGGAGTGGGACCAGGCGCCCTCTTGGTTTGGGTGCATCCTTGTCCACTCCTCCCAGCCCAAACCCTAGTTTCCTGGGGGGTGAGGGGGAGACTACTGCAAAATGCCTTTTTTTGGGGGGGGGGGGGGGGTTGTTTTATTTATTTTATTGGAAAAGCAAAGACAGCAAAGATTGGTCAGCAGGGGCGGCCCCCGGGTGTACTGAGGGGTCCTGGCCCCCATTGCGAATGTCTGCAGCTTCCTTGTGACTTGAAGCAATGGTGTCCCCCCCCACCACAGGACGCTGTGCCCTCCCAGCCCCCCATATCCATGGGGTGGGGGCTGGCACTGCATGCAGTGTTTGGGGAGCAGCGGTCGGAGCGAGCAGCCCTGGGCTATAACCTCTCGTGCAATGTATTTGTGGATCCATGTACGCGTCTGTCCGACTATCCAAAGCTTAGCCAAGAAATAAATGTAACGTTATATTTGAAAGACAAATCTATATAATATATTTTTTAAATACAGAAGTGGAAAAAAAAAAAAAAAAAGAAAAGAAAAGAAAAAAAAAAAAACCAACAAAGCTGTAAACCTCCCCCCTCTCTTCTCTCGTTTCCGCTGTCCTGTACTGCGGTGGATGTAATAAACGTCGCTGGGTCTGTGTCTGCTTCGCTGGAGACGGCCTTTGGCGTCTGCCCTGGGGTGGATATGGAGGGCACGGGGGGAGGACATGGGGACAAGGAGAGGCACTGGGGGCAGAAGCACGTTCCCCAACCCTGGTCCGTGTGCTGAGAACTGGTGGACATGGGATGGTGTCACACCAGTAGCTCTCATGGGCTCTTTTTGGGGGGCTGAAGGGGTACCTCCAGCATTTCCTTTGAGCTCCCTCCCCTCTTCCAGGCTTGGCCACAGGGGTGCCCACATCGGCATCTGCCCCCAGGTGCTGGAACAGCGGGGATTGCATCAGAGGTCGGGGATGGAGCGGTCCATGGATGACTTCATCTGTCCCGGTGACAGCCTGCACATGGAGAAGGGGTCAGGGGGAGCCTCAGGGTCCCCTGGGATCACTGTGAGCCTGGGGGAGGGGGGAGTTGATAGGAGATGGGGAATAGGGGGAGCACAGATCTCACCGTTTCACCATGTGCTCATAGATGACAGCAGGGATGATGGTCAGAGTGATGACATTCCCTGCGCCAGCCAGCACCTCCATCAGCTGTTTATCCTATGGAAGGAGGGGCAAACATTATGAAATGCTGTGACACATCCCCACCTCACATCCAGGGCGACGTGGGAATCCCCACAGCTCCCAGGGCAGCAGCACCCCATGGCTCCAAGTCCACAATCTGCACCCAAAAGCCCTGTACCAACTGCAGGGCTGCCCCCACTCAGGGCAGTTGTGCCATGGGGACAGGAGTGGGTACACAGCTGCGTCCATACCTTCATGCCGATGACGTTCTGACCATTGACCTCGCAGATGTGGTGGTGTGTCAGGAGCCCATTGCGGGCAGCAGAGCTGTCCTTAGCCAGAGACACGATTTTCCCCTTCTTCACCACGACACCCACATGCCCGGTGCTGTCCTTGTGCACGGTGACGGTGCGCTGGAACGGTCTGTGGGGACAGTGGGGTCAGCGCCAGCCCCACACACAGCAGCACCGCACACCCATCCAGCAGACACCGCTCACCTGTCCCTCACCACCATGACAATCTTCTCCGGGGATGCCTTCTTCAGCGCCCTCTGCGCCTTGTCACTGCTCCAGCCTGCACAATTCTTGCCATCAATCTGCAGGATCTGGTCACCAAAGCGCAGCCCCACCAGCGCCGCCGGAGAGTTGGCCTTCACCAGCTGCACGAAGATGCCCTGAGGACATAGCGAGGGAAGCGATGGCGCAGGGCTGGCACCAGAACCAGGTGGCAGTGCTGAGCTTTGTGCCACACGCTGCCATGCAGTGGTGCACCGTGTCCTGCTGCACCACGCAGCGATGCTCCGTGCCGTGTCACCCTGTGCCATGCAATGGCGCACCGTGCCCTGCCAGGTCAACATTTTTCAGCCCAACCCTTACCTGGTCAACATTTTTCAGCTGCAGCCCCGTCTTGCCCCTCTCGTCCTTGCAGAGGTGGATCTCCCGCACACCTGGTTTGATCTCTGCCCGCCGCAGCCCCGCACTGTTCCCACTCAGTGGGGCAACCAGCTGTCCCGGCAGAGACCCGACGGGAGTCAGCGCCTGCAATGGGGCGGGGGATAAGCAGGACATGGGGCCACACATCAGCCTTCAAGGGACACCACGTCCCTTTCACAGGCAGGATGCTGCTATGGGAGGGGACCCCCAGCCCTGAACCTACAGTGCTGCTATCTGGGAAGAGGTTTTTCTGGATCTCTTCGCTGGAAAGCGCCAGCCCCATGTAATCCTCCAGCTCAGCCAGGTTGGGGTACAGAGCGGGTGGTGCTGAGGGCACTATGGACACGGAGAGAGACCCATGGGATGAGCCAAGAAACCCCAACAACTCATCCCCTACCCACTCACCGAGCTGATGGGGTCCTCAGCTGAGCCCCCACAATGTGGGCACCCCCATACCCCAACCCCAAACAGCCCCTTGGCACCACACCCCACATTACCGGTGCTGGAGGTGACCTTTGGCTTCTCCGGGAGCTTTGGCTTCTCAGTGAGCACCGTGGTGGCAGGGGTGCCAATCCCAGCAGATGCCTGTGCCTGGGGGAGATGGGGTTTGCTCGAGGCACAGCCCCTGTCCTGGGCTCACCATGAGCACCCAATGGGTCTGATCACCCCCATAGTGCTGATGAGCAGATACTGACCTGCAGGACCTGGTGGCCCTTCATGTCCTCCAGTGAGGGGTAGAGCGTTGCCATCGCTGCTGCTGAGCCTGGGAATGGGATGGGGATGGGATGAGGACAGGGTCGGGGCTTTTTAGGGCTTGGTGCAGAGCCACAAACACCCCTCAGGGACCCACAGGGCTGGGCTCACTCCTATCTCTGTGTCCCAGCCATCACCTGTAGCCTGGGGCATGACTCAGGACTCTGTCACATCCCAGCAGCTGGGGCACATGCTGGGCATGAGCACAAGCACAAGCATCCCAGCAGCCACCCTGCTCCAGGTATGATGTGCTGGCTAACCCAGGCACCCACGGAGGCTCTTTTAGTTTCCCCAAACTCAGCCGGGAGATGTCCCCATGGGCAACACCCCCATGGACAAAACTCCTCCATCACTGCTTCTTGCTGTCCTTAGCCCCCCACCAACTCCCTCCACCCCATGACCTGCACAGCTCTGTGCCCAAAAAAACATCACCCAAACATCAGAACCCACCTCCAACCTGTGCTCCAAGCACCACTGGAGCCAGGCAGGATCCTGCCTGTTAGCAGCATCCTAAGGTGGTGGGGGGGATGATCCCACAGACCCAGTCTCACCCCCCAGCCCAAGTCTCTCCAGACTCACCTGCAGATTTCTGGCTCCTATGTGCTGCCCTTCACCTGTCCCCGTGCCTTTATAGCAGCGCCCATCCCCGGGGAGGGGCCCAGTGGCCTCAGCTGACAGCCACCTCCCTGTGCCAGGTGGGGCATAGGGGAGGAAGAGGAAGGTGAAGGCAAAGCAGCTGGGCTGGCCCCGGGGAGGAGCACACAGCAGCGGGGATGGGGACACAGATGGAGTCACTGATAGAGAAAGGGACACAGATAGGGACACACATGGAGATGGGGACTGCTTTCCATGGCTGCGAGCATCCTGGGAGCCCCAGGGATGTGCATCTCCAGGGTGGCCTCCACCCTTCCCATCCACACAATCCCCAGGTGCCACCATCACACTGCTCAGTGGCACCGTAGCCCCAACCAGAAGCCACCACAGCCCTGTGCCCAGCACAGGGTGGGTGCCCTCAGCCCTGCGTGGGTGCCTGTCCCCTGTGACACCTCTCTGTGTGGGGCTGACGTTGCCACATCCCGCATCCATTCGTGATGGCCCCGTGGGAAAACTGAGTCAGGGCTGCGGGCGGAGGGTGTCAACCCAGCACTGAGCCACGCATCCCAACCTGTGTGATGCCATCGGACCCCGTGTCCCCACGCACGCAGGTCCTGTGGGTGCCCGTGGCACAGGGCCAGCCCTGATACAGGGCATGGCTCAGCCTTGCGTGCCAGCAGGAAGCAATCTATTTTACCAGCATTATTTTTAGCCTGCGGTGCCCAGCTGCCCCGGAATGTAATGGGAGCAGCAGACATGTGATAAGCACACGGCTGAGAGTGAGCAGGTCTGCCCTAGAAGGATGGTACCTGTGCCAGCAGGGCTCTAGTAGCCTGGAAAAGGAGTTGGGAGTGCCCAGGTGCAGCGAACACAGAGAGTGCTGGGACTTTGCTCCCCACTACAAACACAGAGCCTACAGCCATGCACACACACACACTGCACGCACAGCACCTGCACACAGATGCAGCCATGAGCACAAATGCAGACCCTGCTCAGGCACACGTGTGTGCACGCAAACACACAAGCACTCGGTGATGATTTGCAGCACAATGCCACCATTCAAAGCTGCTGCTGCAGAGCCCTGCAGACAGACAGACAGGAAGGCAGGAAAGGGACACTGGGTTGTCTGCCCCCAGGGCAGGAGGTGCAGCCCCAGCTCCCCCCAGTCTTTTTGCTTTCCAGTTTTTATCTCTGGCCACAAAGCCGTGGCACAGCCTGGCACTGGTTAATAATTAAAGCGAAAGGCTTTGCAGGAAGAGAAACCCAAGCTCACGGGGAAATTCTGCCTAGGAGCAGTTGCTGCAAAGGGCAGGGCAGCTCCCTGCCTTCCTTCCTCATGCTGCCAAACTGAGGGTCCTGGAGCAATGACCTGAGCCTGGAGGCCCACAGCACTACTCCCCAGCCCAGGGATCACCTCATGGCAGCTCCTTCCAGCCCGAAGCACCAGAGCAGCACAAATACAACATTCCCAAACCAGGTGCTGCAGGTCCCAGCCTTAGGAGCACATTGTGGGGAGCTCAGCCCACAGCACTGCTCGCTCCCAAAGGCACCAGCCCCATCCAGCCTCGTAACATTTCTCTCCAAACACAAACTTTGAACCCACTGCAGCGTGGGGATTTGCTGCAGACACATTATTGATTGCAGCCAATGAAGCAAAGGCTGTTTGCAAAGAAGCCAGGTGTTGGCACGAGGATCTGAGCAGCACGGCTGGGGACCTTGAGCCTTTAATGCTACTGTACAACCCACACCCTACAGCTGGGTGCTGAACCGGGCTCCCCCAACACAGCCAGCAAGAGCAGCACCCACACCACCAGCCACACACATCCCCTCAGCACCCGACCTGCAAACGTCAGAAGGAAAGACCAAAAGTCACAGCTGTGAGCTCTGACATCCAGGTGAGAAACCACAGCACAGCCACGGCCAGCCCTGGGGAGGAAAGGCTGCAAAGGAGCAAAGGCACTGCTGAACAGAATCACCAGCACCAGATCACTAAGGCACCAAAAATAAATAAATGTAGGACAGTTTTAGGGTCCCATGAGACCCGATGAGTGCATACAGCCTGCTGGATGTGCACATCCCAACCTCCAAAAGGGGATAAAGCAAATTGAGATACAGTCCCCACGGAGCAGGAGGGACCCAGCAGGCTGAGCCACGGGGAGGCTGAGGGCAGTGCTTAATGGGTTTGTGGTAAGGCAATTAGAGCAGGTCTGGCAGGTCGCTGCCCCACATCCCTACGTGCCCGACGTCGAGCCGCACGGTGCTGCCAGCCCTCCCCACCCAGGGAAGAACCTCCAACACACAGGGCTGAGAAAAGCCAGCAAAAAGCGTTTTTATTGCAATCATAAAACTTGATACCTTTATGCAGTGGAGAAGGAAGTGAACGGCGGCGATTTCTCTTACCACGTCACCAGGCAGGGCTGGGGGCGGCTGGGACAGCGGCAGGGGAAGCGATGCATGGCGTGAGAGAAGCCAAGCGGCGATGACCAGCATCAGGGGCAGGAGAACGGGCAGCTGTGCTCAGCCCGGGGGCAGCCAGGGTCTGAAGTTTCCTTCCCGGGGAGGGCAGAAGGGATGGGGGTGTTTTCTTGCAAGCTCACCTCCCCCCCAGCTCCACCACCTCCCTTGTAGCACCTCCCATTTGTCTGCTGTTTTCTTTTTTGTTTTAAAGCAAAGAAAGCTCAATATAAGAGACAGAATTTCCAGGGGGTGGGTGAGGCTCTGACGGCCCAACCACCCCCACAAAACCAAAAGTGAGACAACAAAGGGAGGAGGTGGGGGAGGACAGGGGCTGAGCATCCCCCGTCCCAGGGCAGCCCCGTGATGCTGCGCTTCCCCCAGAGCACAGGGAGAGGAACGCTGCTTCCCCAGCACCCCAATTCCAGGTAACTACACACATCCTAACGCTACTTTGTTCTCCACATCCATTCAGCCTCACTCTGCTATGGCTTTTGCAGCAGCAGCAATTTCTGGTTTTAAAACATCATAGAGATCTGCACCAAAACGAGTAACTAACTAACAGGTTTCCTTTTGTTCAAACGACTCCTATCTAAGGTCAGCCCGTCTGCGTGCTACTGACAGAATGTAGTCTACACCTGGAACAAAAATAAGATTAAGAACTTGACCCAAAAAGAGTTGAGGTTTACGGCGTATAGTTTAAAAAGACATAAAAACACGATACAAGGAGGAAGAGTCAGACGCAAAGCTTAGTGACCAAAGGCATTCAATCAAGGTGTAAGGTTATACAATGAGTGTAGTGGACTATCAGGAAAAGCTCCGTACAAAGTCATGTGCACTCTTCTTGAAGCTGAGATTCTGGATTCCTCCATGTGCCAAACCTGTTTGGGGAGAGGAGAGGCACCGTGACACAGCCACCCACTGCAGCCCACAGGGACCGGTGCAGGAAGGAATGTGGTCACAAAGGGACAGTCCTATTGCCAACTGCATGGTCTGCTCAAAGCAGAAGTCAAATTCTGCTGATGTGGGGAGCGGGACACCATCCTGCCCACTGCAGAACCCATACAGTAAGAGCAATGTGAAGGACTGAGGCACATCCAGCCAGCATTGAGCTGTCTCAGTGGCATGAGCAGGCTGCAAGCTCTGCTTCTATCCCACAGCGACTCCCAAATCCACAAGCTTCCAAAACCAGCCCACAGCCAGAAACCTGTTCTCCACACCACTAACACCTCCATCCTATCTCCCTGAGGCAGACTATGGGAACTTGAGCCTCCCCCACGCTCCAGCAGCCCCCCTGCAACTCCCCCTCCTTACCCGAGGACAGGGTGTTGGGGTGGGTCATTCCAATTTCATGAGCTCCACGTCGAAGATTAGAGTGGCGTTTGGTGGGATGATCCCTGGGTGGCCAGTGGAGCCATAGGCGTAATCTGGGGAGATGGTCATCTTCGCCCTCTGACCAACACTCATCTGGGAGGAGGAATGAAGATAAGGATGTCAGATGCACACAAACACCAGGTGAGCGAGCGGGAGAAACATGGAGCTGTCCCCACTCCTTTCCCAATGCTGGGCACAAGCAGAGGGGACTGACGAGAGATAGGAAGGACATCAGCGGGGAAGGGCAGGCAGCAGAGGCTGGAAAAGGAGCAGGGATGCATCAGAACTGGCGATATCCTTCACACAACCAATTCCTAGGTCTGCCAGGCTGCCCCCTGCAGACAGCAGCATCCCCGTGCTGCAGCGTGGGCGCCGGCTCCCAGCAGCACAGAGCCCACTGCAGTCACGCACGCTCCCCATCCCCCTCCCCTCGTGCCCACAGCCATCTCCAGCAGGAGCAGGGGGCCCAAGCTCCCCACGGCGCTCTCTCAGAGGTGACTCAGTAGAGAAATGTCAGTGCTGAGTCACCAGCGTGCCGTAGGTGTTCCTCAGCCCGGCCCTGCTCCGTTCCTGCCATCTGGCAGGTGGCAATGCAGAAGGTGATATTCACACCCACGCCTCCCATGATGGAGGGGGTGGAAATCTGAAGGGTTGCACGCAGTGATTTCTGCCCACACCGCAGATCCCCACGAGCGAGAGGGACGCCGGGCACCTGAGCAACTCCTTCCTCCCAGCCGCGGATCACCTCCTGCTTGCCCATCACGAACTTGAAGGGTTTGTTCCTGTCGCGGGAGGAATCGAACTTCTTCCCATCCTCCAGCATACCTGTGGGCAGAAAGGGGAGGGAGGAGTGAGGTTGGTGTCACGGGAACAGGTTGTTACCCGGCAGGTGTGACGGTCACCGTGGGAAGCTCACATGGCCCTGAGTCAGTGGGATTTCCCTGCTGCCCTGGGGAAACACCTGTACAGTAGGGGGCTTCCCCGCAGCACCTCCTGCTGCAGAGAGCAGGGCAGGAGCAGCCCTGGTGTGAGCAGCATTGATCCTCCCAGCTGCAAGAATCACCGCGTCCCTGCTCTGTGCTGTTTTCATGCAGAGAGAAGCCCTCCTGCAGGCTAGGACAGAGGCCAGCCAGCAGACAGGGGACACCTCGCCTGTCCCAGAGCACCAGCATTCTGCACAGCAGCATGTGAGCCAGGGCTGGTTTCTGTCCTCGAGCACACAAAACGTAGCCTGGGCCACTACTCCAGCCTGCCCATGCCCAGCCACGAGCCAAACAGTACCCAAAAGCAACAGTGCCAAGTAGGGATCACACCTGCCCAGGGCAGCCCCTGTCCCACAGGGCACACCACGTAGCGCAGGCTCAGCAGCACCGATAACCACAGGGCTAAATATAACCCTCCAGCACGAGCGAGGAGGAATTTCCTCCCTTCTCCTTGGTCCCTCCCTTGCTCCCTGCGTGACCTTCTTGGGGAATCTCACTGCTGGAGCTGCCTTATAGGAGCAGCGACGTCGCTGGGAGCACAGCCCTGCTGGGAGCCGTGCTGTACCTGGGGATTTGGCCACCCAGCGCACAGAGCCTGACGACGGGCAGCAGAGTGGCCATGGTTAATGAACAGCACTGGAGGGTTTGTAATTTCAGAGCAACTGCTGCCAACGGTTCTCTCTTCTCCACTTCCCCCAAAAGCCCAAGAACTTGTTTTTCTGGTTGGAAAACTCTCTGGTCTTGAAAAACAAACTCATTGCCTTGTCCAGCAGCGTATGGGCAGTGGTGGTTTCCCCTAAGCAGGGCACAGTGTCAATGCCCAGGGGCGAGGGAAAATGCAGAGCATGGGACGTGCTGTCCAGACTCGTGCTGCGGTGAGCAAGGTGCACGGACAGCAGCAGGCGTGGTGAGATGATGAATGGAGGGTGTGGGAAACACACAGCATCTCCACGAGAGCAACAAGTACCGAGGGCACTGAGCAGTGCCCATGCAGTCACCATCACCCCATGGGCTCAGCATCACACCATGGAATGCTCAGATCACACCACAAAGCATAGCAGTGCTGCCAGCAGTAACACAGGGCAGCCAGGCTTGATTGTTAACAGAACGGGGCCACTGTCCCATTTCTTTTGGGGAGCAGAATGAAGTGTTTAATCTCACAGAAAGCAAAAAACTCCCCTGCAGGGCCCCCGACACCGAGCATCAGCACCAGCTCAGCCAGTCACCCTGTAGCCCTGGACTTTGGAACAGCAAATCTGGGGTTTTCTTGTTTCCTCCTTCCAGGATAAACCTCTTGGTGCTGAGCCTGCTCCCAACCCTGCCTGGCACTGGGACAGCAGCAGCAGCAGGGATCTGGGCAGGGGAAGGACAGTGGGTGCAGGCAGCACCGCAAGCTGCCCCCAAGCTGGGCTGCAACAAGCAGAGATCTGCCTCACCAAGGGCAGAGGCTGTGGCCACGTTTTCTGCAATTTCACTTGGATGAAAACAAACTGTGGTGTGCTGCTGCTACCACACTGCATGGGGAAACCAGAGGCCACCCTCTCCCCAAATCCATTCCGCACTCTGGCATGCAGAGCTTGCCCCATGCCCAGCACACAGCCATGGGATGCTGTGCCACTCGGCCATGCCAACAGTGAAACAAAGAGCTCTGAGGCTTTCGAGATGGCATCTTCATCTCTGCAACTTTCTCTGCCAGAGAGGCTCCCAGGAGACCTCTCCAGCCTTGGACAAGTAGGAGCAACCATTTCCTCCTCCCTACCATCCCCAAGCGAGGAGATAACAAGATCTTAAATCTATTAGTAAGGCCAAGCATCCTCTGACTAGAGGCAGAGCCCCAGACTCTGCAAACAGCCAAAGGCCAGGAGCAGCCGCCAGCCCAGGGCGCATCCCAGCTTGTCTGAGCTCCGTGCAGGGCATCGTGGAGCTGGGAGACCCTGCAGCACAGCCACCCCACTGCCAGCAGCTCCTGGCACTCAGAAATACAGACACCAGGGTGGCTTGGAAAAACCAAAGTGAGGGGAATGCAGGGCCTTGCCAGGACAGGATGCTGCCATTCCACCACAGCACAGCACAGGAGATGAGGGGCTCCAGAGAGCATCCCCGGCTCCATTTGGGGTTGGCAGCAGGGCTATGCCAGATCTCTGCCACACTTGGCAGGCAGTGGCTGGGAGACGCCGGCTGCAATGCACGACTTGGCTGCGATCCCCTTGCTGGGCAGGGACAGCAGAAAGCAGACACACAGAAGCAGCCCTACAGCCAATCTCCCTTCATCCTCCTTCAGATGTCAGCCCTCGAGATGCAGGGTCAGAGCAGGCAGACCCCCTCCACTGCAGCTGGAGAAAGGGATGGGATTGGAAACCCTTCCCACTGAGGATTCTGCTGAGCCAAGTGTCCCACAGGACACAACT